ATAGATCCTGCCCTCATGTACCTCCCAAGCTGAGGCAGGAGGCCAGAATCGATCCCATCATCAGCACAAGTGGCTGATTTCACACTGAAAAATAGCACAGACCAAGCAGAGCCACTAGTGATGAGGATGAAATCAGATTTTCAGTTTCAGGAGAACTGGGGGTGATGGTGTTGGAGAGTAATTTTAGTAGTGAACCACCTTAAAAAACAACAACAACAGTCCCCACAGACTTGCTTCGCCTGTTTGGAGTTTTCCCTTAACCTGCATTGTGGTGAAGCCTCTATAGTTAGTGGCAGTGAAGGAGTAATTACAAACTTAGGGACTAGTAAAATGGCGCAGTGGTGTGCTGGCTAGTTCTTTGTCTCATGACACAAGCAAGGGTCACCTGGGAAGAAGGAACTGCAGTTGAGAAAATGGCTCCGTCAGTTTGGCGTGTGGGCAAGTCTATGGGGCATTTCCTTGACTTTTGATGTGGAAGTGCCCAGCCCATTGTGTGTGGTGCCATGCCTGGACTGGTGGTCCTGGTGCTATAAGAAAGCAGGCTGAGCAAGCCATGGGGAGCAAGCCAGTGAGCAGCTCCCCTCCACAGCCTCTGCATCAGCTCCTGCCTCCTCCAGGTTCCTGCCCTACTTTCCCCCAGTAATGGACAATGTTTAGGATGTATAAACCAAGTAAACCCTTCTTGGGTTATAGTCTATTACAGCAATAAAATCTAACTAGAACAAGCAGGTAAAAGTGCGTGCTACCTAGCCTGACAACTTGAGTTTGATCCCCAAGACCACGTGGTGGATGGAGAGAACTGAGCCCTGCAGGTTTTCCTCTAACCTCCGTATGTACAAATGGCACACACATGCATGCGCGCGCGCACGCGCGCACACACACACACACACAGAGTCTCACTAAAGTTCTCTGGGCCTCGGATTCACTCTTATAACTCTGGTGTGCTTTGTACTTGTGAGCTTCTTGCCTGTTCCCACAGTAACTAGGATTTGGGGCTCACAACATCCAGGTCCAGTATGCTCTTGCCCTTGCCGGCCTGGAACACCCTCCCATTTGCCTGTGTTGCTCATCCCTTCCTGTGGTTGTGCCAGGGCTCTGCTCCCTCCAGAGCATCACTGAGCTTCTTCAGCAGCCTGCTTTTCCTTGGTACCTTCCCTGTAGCATTTCATTGTTCTTTCAGCTCCCTACATTACAGTGTGGGTTTTGTTTTCATTTGGTGGTGGTGTTTTCATTTATTTAGGAGGATTCATACGTGTTACCGTCTGAATGTGGGGGTGAGAGGACAACTTGGTAAAAGTTGGTTCTTTCTACCGTATGGGTCCCAGGAACCAAACTCAAGTCATCAGCCTTAGCAGCAAGCGCCTTTGCTGACTGAGCCATCTTTCTGGGCTAAGGCCCAAGCCCCAGGCTCGTGCTTGCTGGGAAACACCCTGCACACTGAGCTACAGCCCAAGCCCCCGTTTAAAGGAGAAAGCGATGTCTCTCCTCTCAACATCTCACACAAACTTGGGTTCTGTTCTTACTCCTCCAGATCCCCTGTGGTTCTCCACTTTGTGGACCCTGTTTTGGGGTCTGTCTGCAAGTCAGTGCTGATGCTGTCTCTCTTGTGCTAGCACCTGAAGCCACAAATTAGAGCTCAGTCCTTGAAGATTCCGCCCGCTTCAGATGGCCCCACTGGTCCCTCGTTGCCGCCTGCCCTCCTGAGTGGCTAGTTTTCAGATTGAGAGCTCCTGGGTGGATAAAGAGCTGAAACAGCTGAGAGGCTGGGGGAAGCACCCGCCGTCTCTGGCTTCTTAGGAGAGGTGCATGGGCTGAGCGTAGGGAGAGAGGGTACTTCATGCACGGCCTTCATGATATTTCCACGTGATTACCAACCCAGAGGCTCTAAGCTGCCTTTAGAGCCTTTTATGGTGGCTTCACACCCCGAATGAACGAACGAGGCGTGGGTAAGACACAGAGTTCCAAGTTTTTCATCAGGACTGTGTTCTGTGAGCAGCCCTGTCCTGAAGCTCCACAGGAGAATGAGACTTGTCCTCATCTTCCAGAAGATTCCAAAGGATTCAGGACTGGGATGTTCCCATGACCCCCATCATGGATCTTATCTGGGTGTGGTAGCACATGCCTTTAATCCCAGCACCTAGGAGACAGAGGTGGTCGATTTCTGTGAGTTTAAGGTTATTCTGGGCTACCTTAGGCCATTCCAGGCCAGCCAAGGCTACATAATGAAAAACCCTGCCTCAAAAAAATCAAGAACCACTCTTGAGTTCAAGGTCAGCCTGGTCTACAGAGTGAGTTCCTGGACAGCCAGGCCTGTTACACAGAGAAACCCTGTCTTGAGAAACAAAAAACAGGGATCTTAAGAGTCTTGTGTCAAAGACACACACACACACACACACACACACACACACACACATATCTCACTTTGTCACAATGTCTTGAGTTTTGTTTGCTTTTCATTTTTAAAAAGATTTATTTTAATTATGTGGATATATGTACCATCTGACTTGAGACCTGGGAACTGAACTCAGGTCTTCTGGAAGGGCAGGCTGTTTTCTTTTTATTTATTTATTTTGGTGTTTTGAGACAGGATCTCTCTACATGGCCCTAGCTGTCCTGAAACTCACTCTGTAAACCAGGCTGGCCTCAAACTCAAAGATCCACCTGCCTCTGCCTCCCAAGTGCTGGGATTAGAGGCCTGCACTGTCACACCTGGCCAGAGTGTTTTCATAACTAGTAAGCCATCTCTAGCTAGTTTCCTTCCTTTTTTTTTTTTTTTTTTTTTTTTTTTTTTTTTTGAGACAGAGTTTCTCTTTGTAGCTCTGGCTGTGTAGTCCAGGCTGGCCTAGAACTCACAGAGATTCACCTGCCTCTGCCTCCCGAGTGCTGGGAGTAAAGGCATCAGTTTTTAGTTTTTTTAAAAACAGTGTCCTAACCTGAACCCACAGAAATGAAGGTGTTAAGGGGCAAGACTGGGGGTGAGAAATAAAGACACCAGATAGCTGGGACCAGGAGGTCTTGCTTAACTTGATGACTTATGCTAAACAAGTTTATTAAGAAATACAGCATCTTACACGGTATTTGTAAGGGGAGAATGGGCCAGAGTAGCAGAGAGCTAAATCATATGATGCTGGCAAAGAGAATACAGAAACCCTCATAGATCTGCTCAAGGACTGGCAGACACAGCCTAAGGGAAATTATAGAATGCCAATAAACTGCAGTCTTCATTCCTTCAAGGCACAGGCGCTGGCCTCAGACCTTGCCAAGTCTACTCCTGGACCATAACAGAGAACTAACATCCCCTTTGTCCTTTTAGCCAGGCCACTGAGAAAGCCTTGGATTGTCAGGCTTCCAACAAAGTCCACTTCAGGCTGGATTCGAACTTGCTATGTAGCCAAGGATGATCTTCTTAAACTTACTGATCCTCCTGCCTCCACCTCCCAAGAGCTAGGATTATAGGCACACACCACCATTCCCAACTCTGCTTTTATTTATTTTATGTCCCCCAATGTAAGATGCTTGAGGACAGGAGTTGAATTTCTGTCAACGCCAATCCTGTACTTAAATAGCAGCACATAGGAAATACTTAATCGTGAATCAGTTAATCAGCCAAAAAGCAAGGGGCAGGGTTAGACAGAGTACAGGGGCTGCACTTGCAAAGGACCTGTGATCACTGGGGGTTTCAGAATCATAGGGCAGGGGACAGTGGGTGTGCTGACTAATCTGTCAACTTGACACACAAGCTAGCATCATCTGAAAGGAGGGACCCTCAATTGAGAAAATGCTTCCATAAGGTCCAGCTGTGAGGCGTTTTCTTTATTAGTGATTGATGGGGGGGGGGCAGTGCATTATGAGTGATTCCATTCCTGGGCTGGTGGTCTTGGGTTCTATTAGAAGACAAGTTGAGCAAGCCAGTAAGCAGCATCCTCTATGCCCTCAGCTTCTGCCTCCCAAGTTCCTACCCTGCTAGAGTTCCTGTCCTGACTTCCTTTGGTGATGAACTGTGAATGCTATCCAGGGTTGCCTGGGGGGCCTTCACATGCGTGCATACAGGAACATGTACACACGGAAGGGAGGGAGGAAGTAAAAGTGGTGCAGCCACAAAAAGGGTTTTGGTAATAGCTTTCTTCATATTTCATTCAACAAAAATGCATTGGGCTGTTGGGTATGGCAGTATACAACTTTGATCCCAGCACTTGGAAGGCAGAGGCAGGTGGATCTCAGAGTTCAAGGCAAGGCAGGGTAATACAGTAAGACCCCATCTCAAAAATCATACCAACAGAAAAGCATGCTGAGTCCAGATGAACGTAATACTAAAATACCAGAGGTTAGCATTTGCCTTTTGCTCCTCCTCAGACTAAAGGCCTTGGGTATAATCCTCAGGTACACCAAGAAGATGGTTTGGCTAAATTATATTGGAAAGGTCTGACCCCGCAAGGGATTAACTTTTTACGTTTTATTTTTAAGTGTGTGTATGCCTATGTGTCTGCATGACGGTATATGCACAGGAGTGCAGCTGCCAGGGAGCATTGCATCCCCTGGAGCTGGAATCTCAGGCAGTTGGGAGCCAGTGTGGATGCTGGAAACTGAACTTGGCTCCTCTACAAGAGGATTATGGACCTTTAACCCCTGAACTGTGGCTCTTGCCCTATCAGCTTTTCTTCATATTCCTGTGAGTGTCCACTGTGATCATGTGCCCCAAGTCTGCGGGGGGGGGGGGGGGGGGGGGCTGAGGGGGTGGTGGTGGTTACCAAATCCTCTTGCAGCCTGTAAGCCAAGGCCCTCGGTATCCATTCGGAGTTTGTTGCAGATATTAATGATAAATGCCCTCCAGGATTCTACATACCTGGCACAGTGAGGGATTGTTAGACTGGTCCCCAGGATAATGTGGTCCTCGAAGTACATAGGGTCTATCTAGGGTATCAGGTGAGTCCAAAAAAAAAAAGAAAAAGAAAACACCACATGATCCCAACTTCAGCGCTAGCACCTCCTCCGACCCCCGGCACAGAGGGAAGGGGCGGGGCCTCCACAGGTCGGTGCCGGAAGTGCCTCTCCGCCCCTGCTGCTGGACCATGGAGACCGTGGCCCAGTAGAGACCTTAGTGTGAGACTTACAGGGGCGGTGGCCATGGAGGCCGTGCTAAACGAGCTGGTGTCTGTGGAGGATCTGAAGGTGAGGCCTGGGCAAGAGGAAGGAGGATGGCAGAATTGGAAATGGCAGTTCCTAAGGAGAACTGACCGAGGCCGAACACTGCTGGTTTCGGCTTGCCGGGGAAACCGAACTACTACTCCCAGCAGCCACTGCGGTGTCCTGCTTCTTGTAGGAACCTGCGCTGTATCCCTGGGCCTGATGGGATTTGTAGTTTCCAGCATTTCGGCAACTCAGACCTGAGGCCTGGCGTGTTAGGGGGTTAAGTATGATGCAGAGTTGGAATTTGGGGTACTTGTGCAAGCGATGAGGTCGCATAATCACCTGCGTAAGCTTTTGCTATTATGAGTCCAGCATGGTTCACTGCATGCTAGCCCTCATCCTTGTAGCGGTGTTTTCTTTCCTCTTCTAGAATTAAGGTAAGACAGACCCAGCCCTCCTCCACAGCCCCCCCCCCCCCAAAGTAGGGTGGGACGGAACCAGCGACCTTAAGCGAAGGCCGAGGGGAAGGTCATTTAGCTGCTGTGACAATATGTTTACTGTTCACCTACTTGGGGTCAGCTGGTCCCAGAGCAGTGCCCGCAGCTGCCACCAGGTGTCATCTCCACTTGGTACCACTAGGGGCCCGGTGCAGGGACTTTCTGAGGGGAAGATACAGAGCCTGGGTACCAAGCTCTACAAAAGGAAGGTGGTAGACAGGAGGAAAGTGTGGCCTAACTGGCACTTAGAAACCAAGTTCAGCTGGAGAACGCTGGACGCCCTTTGTTTCTAAATGATTCCCTTTCTCTCTAATGACAGAATTTTGAAAGGAAATTTCAGTCTGAGCAGGCAGCTGGCTCTGTATCCAAAAGCACACAGTTTGAGTATGCCTGGTGCCTGGTGCGAAGTAAATACAATGACGACATCCGTAGAGGAATCATGCTCCTGGAGGGTAAGGCGCTGCTGGATCCCCTTGAACTCACCCCTCTAGGATCCTTTTCAACATGGAACCCTCACCTCATAGCCACCAGTAACCATCAGTAAATTCACAGCAGCAAAAGACTAGGTCGATGCTCTGTATCCCCAATTTCAACATCTGAACATTCATTCAGATGGAAAATGCTGTGAAAAAAATACATAGTCTCAGGCTGGGGAGATGACTCCTGTGCAGGTACGAAGACCTAAATTTGAATCCCCAGGACCCATGGGAAAAGCTGAGTGTGGCCACAAGTACCTGTATAGAGAATAGCAATGAAGTATTGCCGGGGGCTTGCTTGCTATGATCTTAGTCCCGGGTTCTTGGAAAACCCTTTCTCAAGGGAATGGAGTAGATGTACATCTATCTGCACACAGCGATTCCTACATACCACACACGCAATGTCCACAAAAAATGTCTTCTTCAATTATTAGTGGCTGTTAATATAGCATTTACATTGTATTGTACAACAGCAATTTTAAAAGTTTTAGAGATTTAAAATATCTGGGGGGGGGGGCTAGTGATATTGAGGATATATGATCCCAGAACTCCACAGGTAGAGGCATGAGGGCATACCTCAGTAGTAGAACATTGACTGCAGAGATGAAGGCAGGAGCTCAAGGCCAGAGTCAGCTCTATACTGATAATATTCGAGGTCAGCCTGAGCTACCTGAGTTCCCTGTCTCAAAAAAACATCTTTGGGGAATACAACTGGGTTCTGTGCAAATGATGCTTAATTTCATATAAGGGCCTTTGCATTTGTAGATTTTGGAATCTAAAGGGACACGTTGGGGATAATTCCTAAGGCTATTAGGACAGCACTGTACTAAGAAGAGATGCCTATGTCATTTAGTTTATATATATACACACACACACACACACACGGTCTTTATATAACTCAGGGAGATTTAACTTCTAAATCCTGCTTCAGCCACTTAAGTGCTTGGAATTGAGCTGCTCCATGAGCTCTGGGGTCTTTGTAAAAGCAAATACTGCCCCCCTACTTTGATCAGTTCTGATTTTTCAGATTTCTTGATAAATAGGACACAACAGCAAAAGTGGTCTCATTTAAGTCTCATTGGGTACACAGTACAGATACTGAGACGGTCTCAACATTGCAAAACTACTTAGTGGCAAAGTATGGTTGCACACACCTATAACTCTAGTGCACAGGAGGCTCAGACGTCAGCTTGGGATACATAGTGAGTCCCTATCTTTTTTTTTTTTTCAAGACAGGATTTCTCTAAATATCCTTGGTTGTCCTGAAACTCGATCTGTAGACCAGGCTGGCTTCAAATTCAGAGAGATCCACCTGCCTCTGCCTCCCAAGTGCTGGGATTAAAGGCGTGCACTACCACCTCTGGCTTGAGTCCCTATCTTAACCCCTAGCCTGCATACATACACACACACACACACACACACACACACACACAGAGAGAGAGAGAGAGAGAGAGAGAGAGAAATAGTCAGGTGAGGGTCACTCAGGGAAGTTGAGTTAAAAGGGAATGTGTTGTGGTTGTGGTGGTACATGTCTTTAATCCCAGCACTTCAGAGACAGAGGCAGGTGGATCTCTTGAGTTTCAGACCAGCCTGGTGTACAGAGTGAGTTCCAGGACAGCCAGGGCTGTTACACAGGGAAAGGAAAAAAACAAGCTCAGTCAGTAGAGTGCCTGAGACACTGGTTCAGTTCCACTCCCAGCACCACATAAACCAGGTGTGGTCCTGTACCAACCACTCAGGAGGTGGCAGCAGCAGGATTAGAAGCTCTGGCCATCCTCAACTGGATGACACAAAAAGGGGGTGCAAATGTCAGACAGGAGGTAGCCTTGCAGTGAGACCCCCTAGCTGGCCAATAGGGATGGCATCTATTAGTGCAGGCTGGATCACCCATTCCCTGCATCCGCCACAGGTGTCTGGCAGGCTCAGTGTGCTCCCGGCTGTGACTTGAAAGCTGAGGGTGATAGAAACTGATAATGGAGGCCTAGGACAGTGACCTTCCCAGGATCCTAGTGTGAGTCAGCATGGCAGGACCTGTGCACACAGTGTTAAGAGAATCCAGGGACTGGAGAGATGGCTCAGCAGTTAAGAGCACTGGCTGCTCCTCCAGAGGACCTGGGTTCAATTCCCGGCACCCACATAACAGTTCACAATTGTCTGTAACTCTGGTTCCGGAGGATCCCAGTACCTCGCACAGACAAACATGCAGACAAAACACCAGTGCACCTAAAATAAAATACAAATTTAAAGAGAGAAATTCCATCTTCCCCCTGCCCCCCTCCAGAGCTGTTGCCCAAAGGGAGCAAAGAGGAACAGCGGGATTATGTCTTCTACCTGGCAGTGGGCAACTACCGTCTCAAGGTGAGGCTGCAGAGCCCTTCTTCCCAATGCACATTCCACTTGAGTCCCCCCCAGGCAGCAAAGGGCAGTGGGCTGGGGCTACACGGTAAGTGCATGGATATAGAGTGATTCCAAGATGGACTCTTAAGGGAAGATGAGAGAGTTTCGGGGTGTGGGGACCATGGTGACATCAGGGTTGAGGTGCAGCCCCATGCCTGTAGCTGTTATCTCCCCCAGCTTATCACCCCCCCACAGCTGGGCTGCTTGTGGACTCTACTCTGTGGGGCGGGGCCGTAGCGAGCGTGGAGGAGGAAGGATGAGCCAGGGCCAGAGGAGGGCGGCCTGGGTGGGGGCCGGCAAGAGCGGCGTCATGAAGAGCATGCGATGTGGGGTGCGCTTTTCCTCTGCTGCAGGAGTATGAAAAGGCTTTGAAGTATGTACGAGGACTGCTGCAGACTGAGCCCCAGAACAACCAGGCCAAGGAGCTGGAGCGCCTCATTGACAAGGCCATGAAGAAAGGTGACAGACCTCTGGACATCTCCTCCCTTGTGCCCGGGGCCCTGGGGAACACCCCCACACAGTCCTTTGTCAAACCTACCCCCGCAGAGGTCTCTGGAGTCCTAACCCCCAGACTCCGGGCACAGGAACTCCTCTCCTGTGGAGGGGAGTGTGGTCAGGGGACCTGGGGCAGGACTGATCTGCTCACAGGCTCCCTCTTTCCTTTTTCAGATGGACTAGTAGGCATGGCCATTGTTGGTGGCATGGCCTTGGGTGTGGCCGGGCTGGCTGGACTCATTGGACTAGCTGTCTCCAAGTCCAAATCCTGAAGACAGCCTCACCTGCTCTCTGCCCTGGCGCACCTGGGAGCCTGGGGGACACTGGAAGAGGGTCCTGTCCATCCTCACCAATGCCTTTCCTTTTCTTCCCCAACCAACCCTGTCGTCCACCTCTACAGTCTCTGTGACCTTCAACCTCCCATCCCCTGGCACCTGTTGTCTAACCCTAAGTCATGCTTCGCAATGAGTGTAAATAAAATTGGGCTGTGGCTTGGGAACCTCTGTGTCGGAGATTCTGTTGAGGGAGGAGCAGGTTCACTGGGTGCACTGTGGTCCCCACTACCCCCCTCCAGGTTCCTCTGCCAGCATCCCAGCCCACACCCTTCCTTCCTCCCCAATCCTGAATCCACAACGCAGGAACAGGGAACAGCTAGGAGGACATGGCTTTTCCATCGCCCCAGAATCCTGGGAGAGAACATCGGACAGCAGAGGGAACAGCAGGCCTGGGATTTATGACTGTGGTCTCCTCTGACCCACTAAGCTGCCTGGGAGTTTTCCACTGCAGGGGGCCCCCACTGGGCTTCCTCCAAAAACCTCCACCCTTCCCTTCCTTTGTCTTCCTACCCCCTCCCTTTCCTCTACCCAGTCCTTCTCCTTAAGGGGACATGGATGTGAGAGAGGAAGCTCTGTGAAGATGGCAGGGGCCCTGGGGGTTATTGCAGACAGGATACCCCAATCCCAGCCTATGGGATGGGAGGCAGGGATCTCACTCCACGCCTGTTGTGCCAGGCTCTGCGTGGGCCTGTTTGGCTTCCCTGCATACTTGTCATTCCACAGCCCCTGCCAGGCTTGCTAGGAAGCGGGAGGAGGTACCTGAGGGGAACAGGGAGGAGCCTGATACTGGAAAAGGGGGGTTGGGGGCCACAGAGGGTATAGCTATGTCTCACGTAATCTTGACAGTGAATCCTGATGCCAGCTTGCCAAGCGAGGAGTGACCAAGAAGGAAATCTATGCTCAGCCAGGGTTGAAGTGGAGGGCCATTTATCAGAATTAATTAATAGAGCTGGTGATAGTTCCCAGTGAGTGGATAGGTAGAGAGATTAACCAGAATCATGCCCTAGGCCTGTGATCCATCCTCCAACTCTGGGCCCCTGGGCCCTTGGCAGCAAGATCAAACTCAATACCAAAGAGTCAAAGGTCAGCTCTGGGAGGGACAATTCAAGTTCAGGAAGTTTGGAGGAAGGTAGCATTCAGTGGCCTCACCTCAGCCCTGCGGCATTCAGATCCAGGGCAATTACCAACCGTTGGGGCAATGGGAGTGTGCCGGGAGCTGTGATCTGTGGTCCCAACTCCCATTACAACCTAAGAAGTCAATAATGTTGTGTCAACAAGGCTGGGAGCCAAAAATTCAAGCCCAGGGCCCTTTGATAATGCTGGAGTCTAGTGGGAACCCCAATGGCCTAATTCCAGAGCTCCTGTCACCCCATAATCAACCTTCACGGTCCGTGAAGACTTCAGTATCCCAACCCCGGGGTCTTCAGTGTTTAGGTTGTTCTCAGGATCTCTTAATCCATCATGGAAGCCTGTGGTGGGCCTACTGAAAGTTGTCTTCTCTCAACATTCTGGTCTCTCAGTTACCTAAAACCCTTTGTCCCTCTAATTTCTTTCCCTGACCCTGGTGACAGCTGAGTCAGAGACAGGCCACTTCCCCTGGATTCTTGATGGATCCCTGGGGGCTGCTCCTTGGCTGTATCCCTGAGTCTCCTATTAAGTCCAGCCTCCCCCCCCTCCTAGGGCGGGGAGTCCCGGGCTAGGCCGGGGGAGGGGGTGGACTTTTGGCCCGTTTATTCCCTCCATCACAGTCAACAGCTGCTGAGCGGAGCGGGCTTGGCTCATTCCACTGACCTGCCAGGAAGCAGAGTCCCAGAGACTGGACTGAGACAATCAGACCTAAGCTCCAGAAGGAAGACAGACGGGGATAGCAGCTGGATGGGCTGTCGGTTACTCTTCTCCCTCCTCGGACTCTCTTAACATCTCTTTTGAGCCACAGCCCCCAGAATTCACCTGAAGGTGCCACCTCTATCCCAATCCCTGGGGCTTAAGCCCCCTTGGGGGACCTGCATCCCAGCATGTCTATAGCTGTGGAGACCTTCGGCTTCTTCATGTCTGCCCTGGGACTGCTGATGCTGGGGATAACCCTATCAAACAGCTATTGGAGAGTGTCTACAGTCCACGGGAACGTCATCACCACCAACACCATCTTTGAGAACCTATGGTATAGCTGTGCCACAGACTCCCTGGGAGTCTCCAACTGCTGGGAGTTCCCTTCCATGCTGGCCCTCTCTGGTATGGGGTGAGAGGGGTGCCTCTAGGGGACAGAGGGAGGTTGGGTGGCCGGCTGGAGAATCCTAGAGAAGAGGGTGGAGGTGGTTGCCTTTGGCCGGGCCTTGGGCACCATAATGATAAAAATCCAGATGAAGCCCCCATTTCTGGCAGCTGCAGCAAAGAGCTCTGCATGACCCAGAATGGAACGGGAGAGTGTCACACATGGTTCCTTGCCCTAATATATGTGATCCTCTATCAGCTAAGTCAAGCTTCCATGTGCAATTCAGGTCTTTGCTAGCTCCAGGCCTCAGGCGAATGATGGAATGAATTTGATCTTGGCCATCTGCAAGCTAGGGGTAATCATGGTGCCCGTGCACAGGTGCTTATCAGGCCTCTCTGGGCAACAAAATGTGCAGGCGTGAACGGGATGTTGACTGCATATTTTCGCGTTTTATTCTGGGGAGGGCTTGCTCGGTTGGCAGGAGTGACACCAAGACTCCATCTTGCTTGATTGGCTGCCAGCCTCAGTAGCTCTACTGGACATCCATAGACTGTGGTCCACGTACCCTGCTGAACTCAAGGGCCCTGGACACAGCTCGGTTAATCTACAGGGGAGTTTCCTAGAAAGCCTGAGTGGATGCTGGAGAGGTGGTTGTGTGGACACGGGTGTGCGGGTGTGCGTTTGGGGCTCAGAGTGTGGTTTTTGTTGTTTAGTCTGAGGATCTTAACGTGGTTACCACCTGCGGCTCCAACTTGGGATCTGGTACTTGTTTGCTACCTGCATTGCCTGCCGCTTGCTCACCTGCACAACAACCCTTCCTCCCTCCCCCTGCCATCATTTCTCCAAGGAGTCCACTTGGATTTCCTACTCTCACCCATGCTACAGAGACTGAGTCCATGACCATGAACCCTCCCTGGTTGTTCCTGCCGTTAGGCTGTGGTCTTGATTTTCTAGAAATCCAGCTTCAGGCAATGAGTGAGTGGGAGACTGAGGCCAGGCCAGGGTGGGAAAGAGAACGCTGTGAAATAGCTCCATGAATCTGGAAGATGCCCTGAGCAGTGATGGGTGTCTGAGTGGATCTCTGGCATCTCCCTCTCCCCAAATCTCCTGAGGTACCTAGTGGCAAGGGTTTCATGCTCCAGGGTCTCTGATTGTGCTCCACCCCAAACCTTTAGAACAGCGGAGTCTGTTCTGGACCACAGACTCAGCAGTAAGTGCCCAGAAGGGACCATAGATGTGGGCAAGCCTGCTGTATCCCCGCTGGACAGACGGTATTTTGCTGAGAGCCAGGACACCTGAGAGGGCTTACACAGTGTCGATGCTCTTTGCCCGCAAGAGAACATGAGTTTGGAGGAAAATCTCATGGGAGTTTGCTTGGAGTGATGGAGGACAGAAGGCCTTGAGGTCTCCAGGGCTCCTGTCGCTTCTCTTTTGTGGTTTTTGGTTTGGGTTGGTTTGTGTGTGTAGTGGGAGGGGGGTTGTTTGTTTGTTTTGTTTTGTTTCAAGGCAGGGTTTCTCTGTACCTTTGAAGCCTGTCCTAGAACTTGCTCAGTAGACCAGGCTGGCTATGAACTCACAGACATTCCCCTGCCTCCGGAGTGCTGGGTAGTGCACCACTACCTGGCTGTGTGTGTCGTTTTGAGACATGGCGCTGCTACGTTCTCAGATCCCTGACCTCAGCTATGTCGTCCGAGGCTGGTCCTAACTCCTAAAGATCCTCTTGCATCAGCCTCCTAAAATGCTGGGATTACAGGTGTGCACCACCATATCCAGCTTTTTCTTTTATATGGATATTACCCTTCCCCCTATGCACGTCTATGTTTTTCAGAAATATTTACATCATTAACCTCATTTCGTCAAAGCCGGGCCACTCTGCAGAGTTAAGCAACCCGCCTAGAGGCAGAGGAAGTGGAGAGGAAGCTGTGATTCTAATCCACTGTGTCTGGGCTGCTGACCAGTTTATTCCTCTGCGTCTGCTGAGTCCCACGGGGATCCTATCTGTCTTTGCACCAAGTACTAGAGATTAAACTAAGGACCATATGCATGCTAGACAAGCACTTTACCATTGAACTATCTGTTCCTCTCTGGAGGATTCTAGGCTGGTTGGTGTTCTACCACTAAGAGCCAGCCCCCTCAGCCCCTCACTGGTTAATTACAAGCAAATGTTCTACCTCTGAGCTACATTGACAGCTCTCTTTTTATTTTCCATTTTGAGATAATCTTGCTGAGATGCCCAGGCTGGCCCTGAACCTGCATCTCTCTTGCCTCAACCTCTTGAGTGTTGTAGTGATTTCAGGCATAGCTCACCAAGCCAGTCCTAACTATCAATTAATGACTTCACACCTATGCCACCTCAACACTGTTCAACCACTGGACCCACATACTGTAAGTCCTTTAGTCATCTTTCTCTGAACATTAAGAATTGGTGGAGATGGGACTGGAGAGATGGCTTAGAGGTTAAGACTCCAAGATCTGACACCTTCACAAGCAAAGTAATGTATATAAAATAAGAATAAATAAATTTAAAAAAGAAAGCTGGGAGGTGGTGGTGCACCCCTTTAATCCCAGGACCAAGGGAGGCAGAGGCAGTCGGACTCTGTGAGTTCAAGACCAGTCTGCTCTACAGAGCAAGTTTCAGGACAGGCTCAAAAGGTACACAGAGAAACCCTGTCTGGAAAAACAAAACAAAAGAATTGGTGGGGAGCCGGGCAGTTGTGATGCATGCCCTTAATACCAGCACTCGGGCGGCATAGACAGGAGGTAGAAGCAGGTGGATCTCTGTGATTTCTAGGCCAGCCTGGTCTATACAGTGTGTTCCAGGACAGCCAGGACTTTCACAGAGAAAACCCTATCTCAGGGGAAATAAAAATAAGAATTGTGGGGAACTCTTTGGAAGGTGTGGCTGGGAGTCATAATGTCCTCTCAGAGAACTTTGTCCCTCCTCCATACCTCTAACTCCAAGCTAGTTCATCTCTTCCTGGCAGACACCCAAGACTTTTGCCTTCAACTCCATGCTATGGGCCCCACCCGGGAAAGGGATCCAAGGTCCCTGAGAGTGCTTGGCAGCCATCAAAAAAACAGGAGGAGCCAGCAGCTTCCCTCATCTTTGAAAAAAAGGGAAACTGAGACCCCAAAGGGTTATGAGCGGAACCAACTGGGATGGGTTCCTAGGCCCAGGTTTCCCATCTCCCCAGCCCTCAACCACCCACCCTAGACCGTCTGCCCCGAGTCATCACCGCCCCCTGCTGGTGACTCCAGAAGAAACTCAGCTCCAACCCAGTGTGTTCATGGTGTCCAGTATGGTGGCACATGCTTGTAATCCCAGCAAATCAGAGGCTGAGGCAGGAGGATCAAGAGTTACCTCAAGCCAGGTGGTGGTGGTGCACACCTTTGACCTCAGAGCTTGGGAGGCAGAGGCTGACAGATCTCAGTGAGTTTGAGGTCAGCCTGGTCTACAAAATGAGTTCCAGGACAGCCAGAGATGCTACACAAAGAAACCCTGTCTCAGAAAACAAAAACAAAACAAACAAACAAACAAAAAACCAAAACAAAAAGAAAGAAAGAAAGAAAACAAAACAAAAACAGGCAGGCAGGGGGGTAGCTCAGCTGGTAGAGCACTTGCCGAGCATTCCTAAAGCTCTGATGAGATCAATATCCCTGCTTGCTAGAGTCCATCAGAGGCTGGCTTGTGGACTGCTGACATTCTCTCAGAAAAGGAGGGGATGGGAAGAGTCATTGAACCTAACCTCCCAGTCCCCCCTCCCAACCATTTGTTTGAGATTCGGCATGTGGCCTGGGAGATCATCTCCCATGCTCTCTGTGATGATTACATTCCCCCAGGGAAGGAATTTTGGCAACACCTGGGTTGCCTCCCCAGCACCATATAAATCACGCTTGGTCATGCCAGCCTGCAGAGGTGGAGACAGAAGGGTCAGGAACTTAAGGTCATTCCCAGCTATTTAACAAGTATGAGGTCAACCTGGGCTACATGAGGCCTGGTCTTACCTTTCAACAGTGGCACCCCAACAGGGAAAGAGGGGTTGCAGGGTGAGGGAGCCAAGGTTGAGCAAATGGATAAGAGGGGAGTTACTAGGAGATTTAGGTGCAAGAGACCAGTAGGAAAGCATGCCTGCTGAGGGGTTGTATGGACACAAAAGACTGACATGCACTCCCCTGCACTCCCTAGGGTATGTCCAGGGCTGCCGAGCCCTCATGATCACCGCCATCCTCCTGGGCTTCCTGGGCCTCTTTCTAGGCATGGTAGGGCTGCGCTGCACCAACGTGGGGAACATCGATCTCTCCAGGAAGGCCAAGATGCTGGCCATTGCAGGGGCCCTCCACATACTTGCTGGTAATGGGGGACAAAGGGGATGCGTAGATTGGGGAGGCCCTCACCACAGCTCCTGGCTTCTCTGTCCTCATGCCCTGCTCTCTGGACTTGCCTCACCTTCTTCCAGTTGACCCCTGCCCTCTCTTGCTCATCTCTCCCCTTTCCCTACCCTGTCTGCAAATCTCTAGACCACAACTCAGTGTCCAAGAGTAGGGTTGCCCCTGCTCCCAGATGAGTTAAATCTTAGCCAGGCCTGAGAGGCTATTTTCTTCCAAAACTTAGGACTGGTTGGAGATCAGAGTAAGGGCAAGTGTGTACATGTATACACACACACACACACACACACACACACACACATACACACACACACAGAGTTAACAATGCTATAGATGGCCTATTACTGTCCATCTTATTATATTTCTGCACACATTCCTTTACAATAAACCTTGCAGAGCTGGTGAGTCAAGGCAGTTTGTGTTGACCCAAGATTGATCCAGGGATCCCAGGTTGGATGGGAAAAACCAGCTTCTGAAAGTTGTCCTTGGACCTCTACATGAGTACCTGCACTCATCCACACACCACACACAAATAATAAAATAATAAGTAGTAGTAATAATCGTAATTTTAAAACATCCAGACAGGATGGGTATTTCCTGTTTTCTAAATCTGAAGGTTTGGAAAGGTCTCTTAGCCAGTGTGACAAGTGATGAAGGGTGATAACCCACAGGGAGGTTGGCGGCAGGAAAGACTTTTTGGACAGCTGGGCATTCAAGTTGGGTATTGTTACCATCTAGGGGTCGTGATCAGGTTCATTTTCTCTGCCAGTTAAGGAATTAAAAGGCAGGGAACACCTCAAGTAGGACAGGTAGCGGGTGAGAAGTCATGAACACAGCAGACGAATCAGCAGTTGAAGAGAGGCATTTATTGGGAATGAGAAAACGCATGCATGCAGCAGACACAGAGAAAAACTCTCCACAAAGCAGAGGGGTAAGCCAAAGAGAAGCCCAAAGTTCCAGTATCTTTCTGAAGGCAGATCTTTTAAATCTGAAGAGCTTTTCGTAGTTAGAGTTGGTCAGTCTGAAGAAAGACAGGATGGCTGATGGACCCTCAACTGTTGTGTAACATGTCCTGACCCAGCATTCAAATGTTGAGCCAGTTCATCTGTGGACAACAGCTGGCAGGAGAAAAATAAAGTCCACAAGGCCTGTGTTTTAAGCTGCCGGGATTTTGTCTCAAGTCCAGAAGGTAGGGATTTTGTCTCAAGTCCAGAATGGAGGGAAAGCCATCCATCCTGGAAATTCACCATCTTTATTACCTAGGCATAGCCACTCTCCTTGTCTCCCAGGGAATCTTGTCTACATCCTGGTCCCTCAGTATATTTGAGGGTTAGTGTGCACAGAGCCCTGGGTCCCATCCCCAGTACTGAGTAAACTCTGTGTGGTGGCTCATGACTATAATCTCAAGAGGTAACAGGATCACTGCCATGCTGGGCTATGTGGTGAGTTCAAGGCCAGCCTAGACTTTATAAGATCATCTTTAAAAATGTAAGATATCCAGCACTTTTGGGGCAGAGGCAGGCAGAGATCAGTGAGTTCAAGGCCAGCCCAGACTACAAAGGGAGTTCTAGGACAGCCAGGGCTATTACACAGAGAAACCGTCTTGGTTGGGGGAGGGAGTAAGATATCCTAGGACTCAAGTGGCCTGAAGGCTGCACTTTGAACATGTCTGGGTCACAGGCTGGAACAGAAGAAAGGAACTGTTACTCTTGGACACGATGCCCCATCCCTCAAACCCCTCCTAGCTCGCTTGCTTTGAGAGGTTGTGACTGTAAGACGGGCCCCGCGGAAAATCCTCTACTCTCTTCTCCAGGGGCTTGCGGGATGGTGGCTATCTCCTGGTATGCTATCAACATCACTACTGACTTCTTCAACCCGTTGTATGTTGGAACCAAGTAAGTAAGGAACCCTGCCCTTGGGGACAGTGGGTAGGTCTTGGCCCAGCCTCTCTGGGCTGGTGCGTACCTCTTCCACTCCTACAGGTATGAGCTGGGTCCTGCCCTCTACTTGGGCTGGAGTGCCTCCCTGCTCTCCATTCTGGGCGGCATCTGTCTGTTCTCCACCTGCTGCTGCGCCTCCAAGGAAGACCCAGCCACCAGGTGAGGGGACAAGTAGGAGGAGAACTGGATCGGGGACTATAACATGCTATGGCCTCCTGTGACCCCGCCTTCCTCTTCATTCCACAGGGCTGCGCTTCCCTATAAGCCTTCTACAGTCGTGATACCCAGAGCCACCTCGGATGAAAGCAACATCAGCTTTGGTAAATATGGCAAAAACGCCTACGTGTAGGAGCTCTGGCCTGGTGGGCACCATTTCTTGTCCCACTGTCCCCAACGGAAAAGTGTCCCCAGGACCCTCGGACCAGTCTCCAGTCAATAACCTCAGGGCAGACCATTTCCAGGCTCCATAACCTGCTCTGGGTACACCTTATCTGGCACTCCAGCCTCTCCCAGAAACAGAAGCTTCGGGGGGACTCGCATGGCCTCCTACAGCTGGACCCAAGGGAACAGAGGCGTCTGCAGCTTGTGACACCATATAAATACATGCATAAATAAATGTATATTGTGATTGTTGGGGTGGGCTTCAGGGGTCATGAAGTTGCAGCCAAATAAGGGGTTCATTTTCATACCATAGACTGTCAAGACTGCCCACTTTTGACCTGTCTCATCCAGTGAAATAGTGTGCCAAGACAGGGGAGATAGCTCAGTGAGTAAGCGTGTTTGCTACACAAGTATGAAGACCTGAGTTCAAATCCCCAGAACCCATGTAAAAAGCAGGGCCTGACCACACTCCTGTAACCCCAGTGCTGTTTGGGGGGGGGCTCTCTGAGGTTTACTGGCTTGCAGTGTAGCTCCAGGTTCAATGTGAAACCCTATGTTGAAGGAATAAGGTGGAGAATGGTAGAGCAGGCCACTAGAAGCCCTCCTCTGACCTGTGCAGGCACAAACAACACATGCATGCACTGTTGTTGTTTTGTTTTTCGAGACAGGGTTTCTCTGTGTAGCTTTGAAGCCTGTCCTGGAGCTAGCTCTGTTGACCAGGCTGGCCTTGAACTCACACAAAGATCTGCCTGCCTCTGCTTCCTGAGTGCTGGGATTAAAGGAGTGTGCCACCAATGCCCAGGTGCATGCACATGTTCTTAACAAAAGATGTTGCAGGTACCCACCTCAGGGAATTATTACTAGCTGGGATGCTGCTGGCCAGCTGAAATTCTCTCTTTTGACTCTTAACCTGTTTTCTTACAGCTTCACAAAGAAGCAGTTGATTCAGAACAGGCATTTGTGTGTGGGTTTGAACTAGATTTGGGGTTTAATAAAGATATTTTAAAAGATGCCTTCATGTGTTTCTGTACACCATATGCCTGCACATGCCTAAAGTTACCAAAAGAGGGCACCAGATCCCCTGGAACTGGAATTACAGGTGGTTGTGAACTGACCTCTGTGGGTGTTGGGACTGGAACCTTGATCCTCTGTCAGAGCTGCAACTGCTCTTATCTGCTGAGATATCTCTTCAGTCCCTTAATAAAGATATTTTTAATATAGATGGAAGTTTGAGGGTTAAGAGAAAGGACCTCATAATGAAATGATACCCAGGAGTGTGGATGTGGTTTTTTGTTTTGTTTGTTGTTGTTTGAGACAGGTTTGTCTATGTAGCTTTGACTGTCCTGGAACTCACTCTGTAGATCAGGCTGGCCTTGAATTTACAGAGATCCACCTGCCTCTGCCTCCCGAGTGCTGGAATTAAAGGCATGTGCCACCACTGCCCAGCAGATGTTGGCATTTTAGAAATCTTAGAAATAAGACACCAAAATATGGTATTGTGTGGCATGGTATGGTATCCTACAAAGGGATTCCCAGGGTCTTGTCTGTCTCAACTGAGCCTGAGTGTGCTCAGCAAGGCTGGGCTGGGCCTGGTATACACATGTTTCTGTGGGAAAGCTTCAGTATCTTCCATAAAAAAGCTCATGTATAGCCATGGCTGGCTGGTGGGGATGGTGTGTTATGAGCAGCTTGGCATGGGCCTACTGGGGACCAAGTCGGTAATGAGGCTGGGTGGAGTGGTATACTCCTGTAATCCCAGCACTTGGGAGGCAGAGGCAGGCAGATGAGGAGTTCAAGGTCATCCTTAGCTACCAGGTGAGTTTGGAGCCAGCCTGGAAAACATGAGACCGTGTCTTTAAAAAAAAAAAAAAAGCAGGGGAAGGCTAGAGAGATGGCTCAGCCACTAAAGGGCAGGCTCAAAAACAAAAACAAAGCAGGGATCTCAGTTGGTAAAGTGATTTCAAGTGTGAGGACCTGAGTTTTCTTCAAAAAAAAAAAAAAAAAAAGGCTAGGTATGGTGGCATGGGGCTCACTGGCCTACCAGCCTAGTGAGTCTGGTGACCTACAGGTAAAGACCTCAACAAATGAGGTGGAAAGTGACTGAGGAGGAGCTGTGATAAACACCACGACCAAAAGCAACTTAGGGAGAAGGGGTTTACTTTACCTTTTCATTCCCAGCTCACATCCATCAATGAGGGAAGACAAGGCAGGGGCTCCAGCAGAAACCACAGGATGCAGCTTGCTTGCCCTCTCCGGTAGCATCGGTAGAGTTGAAGCCCACCTGCCTAGGGATGGAAACTCCCACAGTGGGCCCGGCCCTCCCCAATCAATCAGCGGTTTTGGAAATATCCCACAGGTGTCCCACAGGTGTGCCAATCCTGATCCAGCCAGTCCCCCAGCTGAGACTCCTTCAGATAACTTTGGGCTGGGTCAGGTTAACAGCAGAAGCTAACTAGAACACCCACAGTTGATCTGCACCCACCATGTATACATACACAACACACACAAATCAAAGAAAAAAAAATAAAAGGAAGCCACTAGACAGAACCCTCTAATCCAGTGGGAGGAGAGGAGAGGATGGGGCTGCAGTTGACCAGGTGTCTCCTGCTGCACTCGGTGGTGACCAGGGTCTGCCTCTGGGGCTGCCAAGCAGCCCTTTCTTTTTTCTATAATGCATCCATTCAACTACATCATCCCCGCCCAGCCTGCTTCTTCTCCCCTTCTCCTTTCAGAAAACCTGAGCCGAGTTGCACAACGGAACACTTAACTCTATTGAGCATGATTGCTGGGTTGGATTTCCATTTCTTCAGACACTATGTGGTCACGTAACTATAAGAGACCAATGGAAACTTTAAAAAACAAAGCAAAATAAAACACCCCTCCCCCCTTTTTTTTCTGAGACAGGGTCTGTGTAGCCCTGGCTGTCTTGGAACTGGCTCTGTAGACCAGGCTAGCCTCAAACTCAGAAATCCGCCTGCCTCTGACTCCTGAGAGCTGGGATTAAAGGTGTGTACCACACTGTGTGTGTGCGCGCGCGCATGTATGCACATGTGCCATAGCATACACGTGGAAGTCAAAGGGCAATTTGTGGGAGTCAGTCCCAGGGATCAAACTTGGATCCTCAGACTCAGCCACAAGTGACTTTACCCACTAAACCATCTCGCCAACCCAAAATTTTAGTGAGAACTTGTCTCAAACAAACAAACAAACAAACAAAGCAAAAATACAAAACTTTTCTGACTCTCATTAGAAGCTTATTTAAGGTCGGTCATTTGTTCAACAAATACTTAGGACATGCCTGCTGTGCGTTTAGCAGGGTAATTTTAAGGATGACATGATTACAGCTTGCACTCCATTTAGACAAGCAGTGAGTCTGTGATCCGCAAATGCTCAGCAGAAAGCACCATCAGCAACAGGAGCCTCTGAGACTCCCCTATGCTTCCCAGGACCATCTTGGTCACGTGCTGGTAATAATCTCACACACACTCTACTTCTGACATCCTAAGGACAACTGTTCCTGCACACTAGAAGCATCACGGACAAGTGTCAGCATGACCGGTTCCATCCAGTGAAGTATCAGGTAGAATTGATTCCCTCTCATATAATTTTGCAACATTCCTCAGCCTCACCCCACTGGCCCAGTTACCCAGCCCTTGAAACTATCTCGAAACTGAAAATACTTAAGTGGGTTGGTGATAGTGCCATCTGTAACCACAGCTACTGGGGAGGCAGAGTTGTGACCAGTACCAGTTCAAGTAGAAGAGCACAAGCCAAGTGGGGCCTTGGTAGTGCATGCCTTTAATCCCAGCACTTGGGAGGCAGAGGCAGGCAGATCTCTGAGTTCGAGGCCAGCTTGGTCTACAGAGTGAGTTCTAGGACAGTCAGGATTGTTACTGTTACACAGGGAAACCTTGTCTAGAAAAACAACAACCACCAAAAAAAAAAAAAAAAAAAAAAAAAAAGAGAGAAAAAGAAAGAAAAAAGAAAAACAAAAACAAACTAAAGCAGCAGCTATAAAGGCAGAGTACCTGGATGGAGATGGGACACAAACCTCCCACGACACAGTGGGCAACAACGGGAGGCTGGAAGAGGGAAGAGAGCATATGCAGGATTGGATTGACAGTCAACCCTGATCTTCACCTACAAACACCTCAGAACAAGCAGGCAGGGTCCTTTCACTGGGCAATTTATTATACAGCACTCTTTGGGCTGGAACAACCCTACAACAGTCCCTGGGGTCTGTGGTTGCCAGGACACAACTTTGCTGGGTGAATGAACAGTTCCTTTCTCTGTCCTTTGAGGGTGATCTGGGGTAAGGGTTGGAGGGACTTCCTCTCCTTGATGCCAGGTTTACACAGTCCATTTCAGACACCTGCAGAGAAAGAAACGAAGCCCATTGGAGGCCAAGGGAGGTCCTGGGACGTTGTGTGGAATGAGACTACGTGTGTGTGTGTGTCTGTGTGTCTGTGTGTCTGTGTGTGTGTGTCTGTGTGTGTGTGGTTTAGGTTCAGGCTCACCTGGTCTCCTGGTGGGTGCCCAGGCAGCGCACCGTGCAGTACCGGGCACCACAGCTTACACAGGTATATGGGGATGGGAAGCCACATACAGCACAGAAGGGGCGCTGGGGTCTGGATGGGGGACCAGCACAGGCTGTCAAGTAGTTGGGGCCCTCAGATGCACTCAGGTTCTGCAGGGACACGAAGGGACAGGCATCTTGAGTTCGCTACTCTGCCATGCGGCTCACATCCACCAAGGATCCTGATGAGCATGGGCTCACCCCTTTGTTTTGGGGACTCCCTCCCCAGGCTAAGAACTCTCTCACCTGCTCCTCCAGCAGAGCCTGGAAGTTTTTCCGGAAACGAAGTTTGAAATGGTCACCTCGAGTTTTCTTCTTTTTCTTTCCTGGGGGAATCAAGGACAATGAGTTGCTAGACAGTGACTGTGACACTTGGGGTCTGTCCCTCCCTGCCTACATCTGCCCTATGCCCTGACAGTCAGCTCCTAAAGTTTAGTCTACTCCATCTTTTTATTTGGGGGACAGGAACTCATGTAGCTCAGGCTGGCCATGAACTCACTGTGTAGACAAGGATGACCCGGATTAGTCCTGCCTCCACCTCTCATGGGCTGCAACTACAGGCCTTTTGTTTTTCTTGCTTTGACACAAGGTCTCATTATACACCCCATGCTGACTTCAAACTCACTATGTAGACCAGGTTGACCTTAGATTCCTGGCAATTCTCTTGCCTCAGCTTTCTGTGGGCTGGGTCTATAGGCATGCACCATCATACTTTATTGCTCCATCTTTTTTATTCCACACATGTGAAGAAACACAGGTGTAGAGAGGGGAAGACAGGTGCTCCCAGTATAGGAGCTAGTCATTGGCAAAACCGGAAACAGTTCCAAGTCGCCTCAATGCTGGGACCTTTCCCACACGGTCCTCCTCAGTCCCGACGTCTTTCCTTTCCTCCCACAGTGACAGGGATAGTATTTTTGTTTGTTTTTGAGACAGGGTTTCTCTGTGTAACAGCCCTGGCTGTCCTGGAACTGCCTCTGTAGACCAGGCTGGCCTCCAACTCACAGAGCTCTACCTGCCTCTGCCTCCTGAGTGCTGGGATTAAAGGTGTGCACCAACACCGCCCAGTTGACAGGGATACTTTTACATTCTGTTTTATAAAGACACACTTGAGTCAGTAAGATGGTTCGAGTGGGTAACAGCACTTGCTGCTAAGCCTGACAGCCTGAGTTTATCCCTAGGACTCACATTACAAAAGAGAGAACCAACTCCTGAAAGTGGCCCTCTAACACCCACCCACATGCCATGGCACTCACACACACACACACACACACACACACACACACACACACACACACACACACGTGTGTGTGGTGAGAGTTCTTCCAGAGCTCTGCAGCTGGTTTAATTCTGGAGTATTAGCGCCTGGCTTTGATCTGCATTTTGTGACTACCTTTTGTTGTAAATATGTAAATCTTACCTGAGAGTTTCTTAAAGGTTAAAAGCCCATACAAAACTTGGTTTACAGGAGGAATCAGCAAACTGAGATGTCCTGTGGCTAGGAATTGCTTTACCATTTGTCTCTTTGGGGGTGGGGGACGTGCTTTGGTTTGCAGAAATTGATTTGCTAAAAGGTGTAAATTGTATAACAATAAAGGATTCCTTGGCTAAACTAGAGTCAGCCAGCTGTGGTTGCAAAGGCTAAAATTCATCCTAGAATGCCCCCAATTCTTCCACAGAAACCAACATCCCATAAAACACATATTACAAATCAAACAAGAGAAATTGCTTACATTTTTAAAAATCTCACTGGGCATGGTGGCACCCACCTTTAATCCCAGCACCTGTGAAGCAGAGGCAGGTGGATCTCTGTGAGTTCAAGGCCAATCTGGTCTACATAAAGAGACCCTCTCTCAAACAGACAGACCAAACCCTCCCTACAATACAGAGAAAGAATAGGCATGCATATTTATCTGGCCCAGTGTTACAGCTGCTAATGGTTGTTTTGTTGAGTTAATCCCTCCCTTCCAGTCCAGGTTTCTTTGGTGTACAAAGGTGAAACCAGTGGACACTAACTTGACTCAGTGGTTCAAAGTGTCTGAGCCCAGCCCAGACATCCACAGGATGAGGGACAAGTACAAGGGATGATAATGAAAGGCAAAGCCACCACAAGTCTCAGAAATGTGGCTGACACCAGACACAGAGGGGAAAGACTGAATGCCAAACAATCCAGAGTGACTGACAAACTTTTGTCTGTCTAAACTTGTTGATTGAAGATAGTTCTTCAGAATAGTAATGCATTGTTTTTTCAGATTGTCAGGCTCTGAATAAATCAAAGTTTTAACGAACTAGGGGTTGCTAAGATTGCCCAGTAGGTAAGGGCACCTGCTACCAAACCCAGCAACCTGAATGACCAGAGTTCAAACTCTGGGAGCTATATGGTGGAAGAAAAGAGCCAACTCCTACAAAGTTTTTTTTTTTTTTCTGACCTCCACATGCAAGCATGTGCAGAAAAGCACAAACACACATATGCATGAACACACACACACACACACACACACACACACACACACACACACACACACTAAAGAAATTAAAAATACAATAAAGATTCAATCCCATCTCTGCTCCTGGACATCTACAGTAACAGGCTATAAGGAGCTTCTTGACACTGTCTCATTCTCTCTCCCACAACCCCCTCCTCACCTGTGTCTGCAGCATCATCAAACTGAGGCAGCCTCTTGCCCAGCTGGGGGAGGCCTGCGTGAGGGTCATCCTGAAAGTTGTCATTTTCTAAAGCTTCGAGCTGTCGATTGATCCTTCGCTGTCGGGCTGCCCGGTCCAGCACCCGCCGCTGTCCAGGGTCCTGGGAGCGAACTAGATGGGATCAAGAAAACAGGAAAGCTGGGCTGACAGTCTCCTGGCTTCATCCCTGTCACTATGTTGTGGGAAGCTCCCAGCTCTTAACCCTGCTTCTTTCCAGCTTAGAAAACTAGTTTCTGCCCTTCATGCTGACTCTTGGTCCTCAAGTCCTGGCAATAACTAGACACAATAAATTGCAGCTGGAGAGGTGGCTGTCTGCCCTTGCAGAGTGCTAGAGTTCAGTTTCCAGCACACAGGACCATCAGTCCCTAGGGTGGTTCACAATTGCCTGTAACTCCAGCTCCAGGAGTTCCGACTCCCTCTTCAGTCGTCTGTGGGCATTTACGCTCATCTGCACACAGCAACACATGGACACATACTTATGATTTTTAAAAAATAAGTGCATTTAGAGGACTGACACTATGTTTATCTCTGGCTTCCACATTCAACACACCTGTGACTTTGTAGGGCCAAAACCAGTGTATGCTTCTAGAATGTCCCTTCAGCCTGAGATGCATTTGTATGCCCTGTGACTGCGCTAAATACTTTCCTTGCACTTAAACAGTGTCTGCTCCCTGCCATGACTCCCAGCTTCCTCCTGTCCTCTCTTGGTGGGTATGCTTCCCAGTCCCACGTCTTGGCTCCTCCCTTGGTCTTTAGGACTACTCTACCTGTTCTCCTTCTTTTATTGAACAACCTTCAGTAGGGTCTCAGGAGGCCCAGGCTGGCCTGCAACTTACTATGTAGCTGGGAGTGACTTTGAAAGACCTCCTGTGCACTCCCACACCTGTGGTTTATGTGGTGCTGGGGATGAAACAAGAGCTTTGTAAACGCCAGGCAAGCACTCTACCAGCTGGTCCAAAACCCTAGCCTCTTTTTCTAGCATATCTTTCAAGAGGTTCATTTATTCTATGTGTTTCTGTACACATATGGGTACTGCAGTACATGTGTGAAGGTCAGAGGACAATCTGTGGAAGTCTTTTTTTCTCTCCTATCATGTGGGTTCTGGGAACTGACTCAGCACGGTTTCCTTACTGCCCAGTCTTGCCAGCCTTTCCTGGTGCTGCTAATCAAAGCACAGAGCTGTGTTTTCCAGAACATGCTAGTCTCAAGCCTGAACCCCCTCCAACCATGGACTTGGCTACAAGACATGGAGAGTCTGAGGCAGGACCAGCCTAATTATATAGGCAGCCTAAGCTACAAAGTGAAACCTATCCCATTAAAAAAAAGAAGAAATAAAGAAATAATAGGGTGGGTTCCTAAGCGTCTCTGTCCCTTCCATCCAGTAGCTGGGATGTGTACAAATGCTCATTGCACCTAGGCTTTGGAATGACAAGGCTCTCCATCCCCCCCCCCCCCCCCCCCCCCCGGCTTCTAGCTTGCATGAATGAATGGTTGCGGGGCTGCCCCCACGCCGAGCAAGAGGAACGCCTAAGGGATTTGACTTGAATAACTGGGAAGGAAAATGTTAAGGGGGATTCGAACTCGAGATGCAGAAAGGGGCGAACCTCTAAAGGCTCACATACCCGAGGGTTTCTTCTCCACCATTTGCGTAACAGTTGCCTGAAGAGCCTACTGCGCACGCGTGTTAACCCCAATTCCCCCCACCCCCGTCCAAACGCATTCCTTCCGGTGGCGTGCACTAGTACGCGTGCGCAGTCATTCCTCTCCTACTTGAAGGCATTACGTGATGTTCCCTTGGAGACCAGGAAGCTTTCCGCCATCTTTGATAGGGGCAAACCCACTTCCGGTCTCGTTGTGGTTGTTTGAAAAAAACAAAAAAGAAAACCTAAGCGTTCGCCTCCCCACGTACCCCGCAAAGGGTCATTTCTAAAACATGTTGCGGGTGGCCTTTAGGGACGCGCTCTTGCCCTGGTGCCCTTTGCAGCCCCGGAGCGTGTCCCCGGGCAGCGGGGGGAAGGGAGGGCTCGCGGCTTTGTTGAACCCCCGCCCGCGGCGATGTCCGCGCGATTCCGGCTCGTGCTGCTCGGCCTCTCCGGGCCCGTCGTGCCCGCCTCGCGCCCTGCCCAGGGCTCGCTGCCCGGCCCTCCTCCGGGTCAGGGCCCGCCCCCGCGTCCCCTGGACCCTCCTCAGAAGGTCACTTCCCCTCCCTGGGGATTCGGTTCCTTACGTGAGACCCGGGCTGCGCCGGGGACTGGACCCCGGGCTCCTCCCCACCCCCCAGCCCGCGCCCACGGGACAATCCTTGCCTTGTCTCGCCGTCTGCATCTCGGGTTTTCGGTGGCCTCGGGTTACGCCTTTTTTTCCAGGGCGGAGTCGCAAGCACAGCTCCTCCTCACAGCGGGCTCGGCTTCCCTTTTCCCAGAATCTTCTCCGGGAGTTGGAATCTGGGCGCTAAGCTCAGCCCCGTTGTGGGCCCTAGTGTCGCCTGAGTGTGCTGCTAGCCATGGCTGCGTCAGGCCTGGAACCCCGGCTTCTGCTCCTGCTGCTGCTGCTGCTGCCGCCGCTGCCCCCGGTGACTTCTGCCTCCGATCGACCCCGGGACTCCAACCCTGTCAACCCAGGTAAGAACCCGGGAGGCCAGTGGGCAGAGTCGACACGTCTGCCAGCCTGGGAGGGAGTGTCCAGTTTCTCCCGGGACCCAGCGCATCGCCCTCTCCCCACGCTGAACTAGGGGGTTCCAGTCTCCCCAGAGGGACAGGAACACCCCAGCCCCCATTCCTGTATGTTACTCCACTCGACTCTTCTGGAGACCAAATGCCCCTGGGAACTGGGAAAACACTTTAGTGAAATAACTGGGAGGTGGAGATACACAGGGATAAACACATGGGACCCGGAGCAGTGGGTCCTAAGTGCCAGTTCCATGGCTGTGACAGACAAATTGCTGGTGATCACTGTGGCTACATCAGAGACAGAGGGATACAGGCGTTTCCTGCAGTCTGCGGAGTTCTTTAACTACACTGTACGGGTGAGTGGGGGGCTCCTGGAGAAGTTCCATCAGGAGTGTGCTGGGGGCTGGTCCTGTGTCCTCACTTTGGCCAGCTGACCTCTTCCATGGCATGGGGCTGGGCTCTTTCCTGCAGACCCTGGGCCTGGGACACGAGTGGCGAGGGGGTGATGTTGCCCGAACAGTTGGTGGAGGCCAGAAGGTCAGGTGGCTGAAGAAGGAAATGGAGAAATATGCAAATAGGGAAGACATGATCATCATGTTTGTAGACAGGTAAAGAGGGTCTGGGGTTGACAGAGCGGGACAGTGAATATGAACAGAGGAAAAAGAGACCCTTTTCCTTGTCCAGCTACGATGTGGTTCTGGCCAGCAGCCCAGCAGAACTCCTGAAGAAGTTTGTTCAGAGCGGTAGTCATCTACTGTTCTCCGCTGAGGGCTTCTGCTGGCCTGAGTGGGGGCTAGCGGAGCAGTACCCTGAGGTGGGCACCGGGAAGCGCTTCCTCAACTCTGGTGGTGAGTGGCAAAGAACCCAAGAAAGAGCCCCCCCCCAGTGGTGGGGGCATTGGATGCTCCAGGTTCCTGAGGGTTGGAGGGAGACTGGGATCCTGGGATTCTTGGGGATCTACCTCCTCTTCTGTTCCCCAGGATTCATCGGCTTCGCTCCCACCATCCATCAAATTGTCCGCCAGTGGAAATACAAAGATGATGACGACGATCAATTGTTCTACACTCGCCTGTACTTGGACCCAGGACTGCGGGTAGGGAGCATCCCCAGTTGAATGGGAGAGAAGGCATGAGGGGAGTTGGAGAACGATAAGGTGCCACCTGTCCCCTCTCAGTTCACTGCTCCATCTCATGCCATCTAGGAAAAACTCAAACTTAATCTGGACCATAAATCCCGGATCTTCCAGAACCTCAATGGAGCCTTAGGTGAGGAAGAAGAGGGTTAGAATTGGGTGATGAAGAACGGGTTTCTGCCAGAACTGGGCTGGCCTGCAGATGACCACGGGCTTACCCAACATCTAAGCATGTTATATTGTGTTAGCAATAGTGAGTCTGGTAGAGCAGGCCAGCAGCAAAATGCTAAGGATTTGCCAGAGGGGCTGGGGTGTGGCTCAGTGGTAGAGCACCTGCCTAGAATCCCCCAATGAGGGGCTGGGGCTGAATAACTAAGTAATAGAAGGTGTGCCTAGCATACAGAAACCCTAGGTTCACGCATTTACCAGGCACATGGTAAGGTTTTCAGTCAGGGGCTCTACTACTGTGATTTCATTGACACAGAGCTTCTGCAAAGGGACTGTTTCCTGACTCCCCACCTTGGAAGACCCTTTGGCAGGTGGCAAAATTGGCTCCCTTAGGGACTAGTGAGTCACCCCAGGTCACTCAGGTAGAGTGGTTGAACTCTCTAAGGCAGCAACAGCCTGGTCAGGCTTGCAAAAGCCAAGGATGGTGTTATATCCCTGATCTCAGGTCTCAGAGACAGGAGGACCTCGAGTTGCTGGCCATCCTGGGCTACATAGCAAGACCCTATCAAAGGAAAGAAAGGACTCACAGAAAAGTACCAAAAAATACTTTTTTTCCTCTCATGTATTTGTTTTGGAGGGGAGGGAAGTCAGATGGACAGTGCTTGAGACACTGTTCTTTCCTTCTACCAAGTAGTTTCTGGGTATCAGGCTTGGTGGCAAGTGCCTTTGTCCACTGAGCCATCTCCCTAGCCCCAGTCAAACACAGTATATGATAACTTAAAAAAAAAAAAAAAAAAACAATGTTTCTATAACAAAATTTCAGCTCACAACGGCAACAGAAGCGAAGAGCACTGGCCTGACTGAGCCATAGCTTGGGCACCTTTGGGCCTACACACTGCTCAGTCCACAAGAGGAATTGGGACTGAACCTATTGTTTTGTGGTTCCCAATTAAAGGGACTATTGAAAGACTTCCTTTTTCTCCCCCAGATGAAGTGGTCTTAAAGTTCGACCAGAACCGTGTGCGCATCCGAAATGTGGCCTATGACACTCTTCCTGTTGTGGTCCATGGAAACGGTCCCACCAAGGTGCCCCTGGTGCCCTCTGCCCTTGCTCGTCTCAAGCCCTGAGTGCCCCATCCCTCCTGGACCATTTGGTCTGCTCCAGTCCCAGTAGAAGAGGTGCTGATGACATAATACGGGGAGAGCAGCCTCTTCACCTTCTCCCTGTACTGAGCCCAGATTGCCTCCCATGTGTCCCCAGACGCCTTTACTTTAGCTACACACCCCCTGTCCCAACAGCTCCAGCTCAACTACCTGGGGAACTATGTCCCCAATGGCTGGACTCCACAGGGAGGCTGTGGATTCTGCAACCAGAACCAGAGGACACTCCCAGAGGGGCAGGTGAGAAGAGCTATGATGCTGGGCAGTCTGGGTTGCTGAGCTCCTGGGCATCCTAACCCTGGAGTGGGCAGTGGCTCAGAGAGAGGCCTGGGCTTCTGTGACCCTTGTCCTGTGGTGTCCGCAGCCTCTCCCCCGGGTGCTTCTGGCAGTGTTTGTGGAGCAGCCTACCCCCTTCCTGCCTCGATTCCTGCAGCGCCTGCTATTCCTGGATTACCCCCCGGACAGGATCTCTCTTTTCCTTCATAACAATGTGAGATGTGGGGACACCCACCTCCTGCCTCTGCCACATCCTATACCTCTTCCTATCTGTCCTCCCTGGACTGTGTCCCTCGGGTACCACCTCTCTGCCTATCCCATCCCCAGGAGGTGTACCATGAGCCTCACATCGCAGATGCCTGGCCACGGCTCCAGGACCACTTCTCAGCTGCAAAGCTAGTAGGGCCAGAGGAAGTCCTGAGCCCAGGGGAGGCCAGGGACATGGCCATGTGAGTGGATCTCCCTCGGCCTTTACATCCCACTCCCCTCCCTCCTCCTCCTCGTCGACAGTGGAGCCCCTGGGGAAGGAGATGCTGACTCTTGTCCTCTTCTCAGAGCTGGGAGTGCCCCATTTGTCCTGCTGTCCCTATTCCCTGCCTCCATTCCCCGTTTGGGCTCATCTTTCCATTTGTGGGTCTTCTCTTCCAGGGATAGCTGTCGGCAGGACCCCGAGTGTGAGTTCTACTTCAGCCTGGATGCTGATGCTGTCCTGACCAACCCGGAGACCTTGCGCATCTTGATTGAACAAAACAGGTGATCAACCCCACACATCCATGGAGCCCAGGATGGCATAGGAACTCCATACCTTCCCTGTGTGGGACATAGTCCGGTCTCCTCTTGTTCAATTCCCTCTGCCGTTTTATCCACAGGAAGGTAATAGCCCCCATGCTTTCCCGCCATGGCAAGCTCTGGTCCAACTTTTGGGGCGCCCTGAGCCCCGATGAGTACTATGCCCGCTCTGAAGACTACGTGGAATTGGTCCAGCGGAAGCGAGTGTGAGTCCCACCCATGTGTACCATGCAGGCTCCAGCCAGAGCCTTCCCTGGGTCCCCACTCCATAGCATCCTATGTGGTCATTAGGTCACAGCTATGGGAAGGGAGGGGCTGGTAATGGATTGGGTGGTTATGTTACATCAGTGATGTGATGGCTTCAGGCTCGTGATTCTGGGGTACCCTGAGGGAAGGAGCTTCTACAACGAACAAATCATAATCTGACGGGTTGTCCATCTGGCTGATCATACCTGATAACTGCAGGGGAGTGTGGAATGTGCCCTACATATCCCAGGCGTATGTGATCCGTGGGGAGACCCTGAGGACGGAGCTGCCCCAGAAGGAGGTATTCTCTGGCAGTGACACTGACCCAGATATGGCTTTCTGTAAGAGCCTACGGGACAAGGTGAGTGGGGTGGTTGGCATGGGTTGCCAAGCCTGGGGACTTGATGCTGTGTTGACAGCTTCCTATTGTCCTCCTCACACATGCCCACCCTTTACCCCACTCCAGGGCATCTTCCTCCACCTCAGCAACCAGCATGAGTTTGGCCGGCTGCTGGCTACTTCTCGCTATGACACTGACCACTTACACCCAGACCTCTGGCAGATCTTTGACAACCCTGTGGTAAGAAGGACCCTTTGACCTGCTGGGACTCCCCTCCATTGTCCACGATGGTGGTGGTGTAACCCAATGGGGGAGTAAAGAAGGCTCCACTCAAATGCTGCAACTCCTCCTGCAGGACTGGAAAGAACAGTACATCCATGAGAACTACAGCAGAGCCCTGGATGGGGAAGGATTAGTGGAGCAGGTAAGCTGTGTGAAGCACCCACTGCTGGGATTGGTGGGGTTCAAACTGAGCTCCCAGGGACTGAGGGTTTGATGTCTGAGCAAGAGTGAGGCTGACAGCCACACTAAGTGTTACAAGCCTGTAATCCTAGAGGTCTGGAAGCTTATGTACAAGGACGGAGAGTTCCAGGCTAGCCTGGGCTACATAGTGAGTGCCATATCAGCCACGGTCAGGTGGCAAGACCAAGTCTCAAAAACCCAAATCGGGCAGAGGAGATGACTCCATAGTTAAGTACTTAACACATAAGCATGAGGACCTAGTTCAGATCTCCAGAGCCCATGTAAATGCTAGCATGTGTGGTGGCCTGCCTGTAATCCCAGCCTTAGAAGGCCGATACCAAGGATCCTCAGCAAGCTGGCTAGCCAGATTGGCTGCATCAGTAAGCTCTGGGTTTGATTAAGAGATCCTGCCTCAGTGGAGAAGGAGCAAGAAAAATCTAGCAGTTCCTGATGTCAAACTCAGACCTTCTCACACACACACACACACACACACACACACACATTTCAGCACACACACCCTTACACAGGTATGCGCACACTCACATGAAAACAAGTAGAGGCATGGTGCGTGCCTTTACTCCCAGAATTCAAGTAGTGGAGGCAAGAAGATAGGAGGGTTAGTAGTTGAAGGCCAGCCTCAGACACACAGCAAGTTCAAGACCATCCTGGATTACATAGTAAGACCTTGTCTAAAACTAAATAAATGGGCTTGAGATGTAGCTCACTTAGTGGAACACTTGCCTACCATTCACAAAGCCCTAGCCTCAATCTCCAGCACTGTATAAACTGAGCATGGTGCTGCATGCCTGTCATCTCAGCACTTGGGAGGTGGAGGTAGGAGGATCAGAAGTTCAAGGCCAGCCTCAGCCACATAGTGAATTTGAGGCCAGCCTGGGCTACATAAGACCCTGTCTCCAAAAAAATAAAATAAAAGACAGAACAGGATCATTGCTGTAGATACTGGGGCTCCAGGCACCCTATTTCTGCCCTTTTCTGCACAGGCCTTTCCACTGACCACCCCTCCCCAGGCAGCTGCCTAGGGAGCTCAGATTGCCTTTTCATAGGTCCTCTCCTGTATTCTCTCCTCCCTGTCCCTTTGCCTGTCCCACCCCTTGCCCCTCTTCCCTGAGTTCACCTTGCCTTGTCCCGTGTTGCCTAACCCTGTCCCTAGCCATGCCCAGATGTGTACTGGTTCCCACTGCTGACAGAGCAAATGTGCGATGAGCTGGTGGAGGAGATGGAGCACTATGGCCAGTGGTCTGGAGGCCGGCATGAGGTGAGGGGCAGGGTGAGCCTGACGGAGGGACAGAGGGATAGGGGTATGGAGGGGAATCCCAGGGATGGGGCTCGTTCTGGGTATGTTAGTTATTTGTCTTGATGCTGTGACAAAATATTTGACAAAAGCAACTTGAAGGAAGGGTTTATTACAGCTCACAGTCTGTGGGTACATCCCATCATGGCAAGGAGGCGTGGCAGCAGGAGAGGGAGGGGGCAGGAGAGGGAGGGGGCAGGAGAGGGAGGCAGCTGGTCCCGTGGTATCTGTAGTCGGGAAGCAGAAAGAGATGAATGCTGGTGCTCATCTCGTTTTCTCTATCATTCAGGCCAGGACCCTGGCACATGGGATGACTCTGCCCACAGTGGTCAGTTTCTCTGTTAACCTAACCCAGACAATCCCTCCTGACATGCCCAGAGGCTTGTCTTCTAGGTGATTCTAGGGCCCATCAGGTTGACAGTCAAGGTTAGGTTTTACACAGAGGGTGCTAGATAGCATGGCCAGATAGCGTGGGGAGGTCAGAGTGATTGGTCGGAGAGTGGCCAGCAGGTCCAGCAATAGTGATCTTGCTGTCAAGGAGAAAAGAACGCTGCTTTTAGGTGGCAGGGGCAGAGGCGTTAAGACTCAGGCTGGGCGGTGCTGGCGCACGCCTTTAGTCCTAGCACTTGGGAGACAGAGGAAGACAGAGGAAGACAGATCTCTGAGTTTCATGCCAGCCTGGTCTACAGAGCAAGTTCCAGGACAGCCAGAGAGAGCTACACGGAGAAAAACAAACAAAAAGACCGGAACCAACAAGAAGAAGCTGATATTGTCCCTGAGGAAGAATGGGCTAGCCCAGGGATGTGAGTGACTCAGTGTCTACTGTCCATAGGATTCCAGATTGGCTGGAGGATACGAGAATGTTCCCACCGTGGACATCCACATGAAGCAGGTGGGGTACGAAGACCAGTGGCTTCAGCTGCTGAGGACATATGTGGGGCCCATGACTGAGTACCTGTTCCCTGGCTACCACACCAAGGTAGGATAGATATCACAACCACTGATGTCTCCCTCTTCCTGTACCCCAGTCTCAGAATTTCAACTCCATATGGTCCTTCCTGTCCCCAGCCCTGTAACAACTAAGGCTCCATAGACTTGGGGCTTGGGATCAAGATGGGTTTGGGAAGAAGTTAGGTCTTCTACTTAGGCTGCTGTATCATCAGAAGAATCACTGGACGGGCATGCTGCACCTGTAACCTCAGCACTTGGTAAACTGAGGCACGAAGATCAAGAGTCTTAAAACAGGAAGGAAGGGCTGGAGATGTGGGTCAGTTAGATGCTTGCCCAGCATGCACAAAGCCCTGGCTTCCATCAACAGCCCTGTGCAAACTGGAGGTCTGTAGTCCCAGCACTTGGGAGGAAGAAGCAGGAGAATCAGAAGTTCAGGGTCATCTGTAGCTATAGAGTGAGCTTGAGGCCAGTCTGGGCTACATGACACCTTGTCTCAAAAAATGGGGAGATGGCTTGTCAGTGAAGTGTTTGTCATGTAAGTATGATGGCCTGAGTTCATGTCATCAGCACCCATGTAAAAGCTGGACATGTCGTTACACGTCTGTACGCCCAGTGCTGGGGAAGAACCTAGGGTGGAGGACAAGCAGACCCAGGTGTGGTGGCGCATGCCTATGATCCTATCATGGAAGAGGCAGAGGCAGACGCAGGAAGACCTCTGTGAGTTTGAGGCCAGCCTGGCCTATATAGCAAGTTCTAGGCCAGATGGAGTTACATAGAGAGACCCTATCTCAAAAAAAATATAGACAAAGTAGCCAGGTGTGATGGCACACGCCTTTAATCCCAGCACTGGGGAGGCAGAGGAAGACAGATCTCTTGAGTTTGAGGCCAGCCTGGTCTACATAGTGAGTGAGTTCCAGGACAGCCAGGGCTACTTAGTGAGACCTTGTCTCAAAAAACTGAATTCCCCTGTCCGCTTCCCAAAAAGACAGTGTGAGAAAAGGAAGAGCTGTGTCTTTCCTTGCCCTTCCTATAGTTTCCACTTCATGTCGCCACAGACTCGGGCAGTGATGAACTTCGTGGTCCGCTACCGGCCAGATGAGCAACCCTCACTTCGGCCACACCATGACTCGTCCACCTTCACCCTCAATGTCGCCCTCAATCACAAGGGCGTGGATTATGAGGTGAGGCTGGGTCCCTCCTGTCTCAGCTCCTTTCCTAGCCTCTGCGGGGCCTCGCGTCTCTCAGCGGTTTTGTGTCACGTCTTGGCTCGACTGCTCACAGCCCATCATGGAGGGAAGCCAAGGCAGTTACTCAAGGGAGGCAGGGGCTGATGCAGAGGCCATAGAGGGGTGCTTCGACCTGGCTTGTTCTTCATGGCTTGCTCAGCCTGCCTTGTCATAGAACCCAGGACCAGTAGCCCAGAGATGGCTGCATCCACAGTGCACTGCGCCCTCCCCCTTTAATCATCAGTCAAGATTGCCTACAGGCCAGTCTGAGGAAGGCGTCTCCTTCCTTGAGACGCTCCCTCAGCCCTGATCAAGCCAGCTTGTATCAAACTGACATAAACCCCACCAGCACAGCTGCTTCCCTAGTCTTCCAGTTTCCCGTGTCTGTATCGGTTACTTTTCTGTTACTGTGGCGACATTCCGTTTCTCAGCAAAAGCAATGGAAGGAAGGGTCTGTTTGGGCTCACATTCTGGGATTACAGTCCATCCTGGTGGGGAAGGCATGGCGGCACCGGCAGGAGGGGTGGCCGCGAGTTGTGTTGTATTCACAGTCAGGAAGCAAAGAGGCGAAGCCTGGTGCCCAGCTCCATTTCTCCTTTTTTTTTTTTTTTTTTTTTTTTTTTTTTTGCCTGCAAGTATGTCTGTACGAGGATGCTAGATCTAGATCCCCTGAACTGGAGTTACAGACAGCTGTGAACTGCTGTATGGGTGCTGGGAATTGAGCATCCCCCTCCCCCCCCAAGTCTTCTGAAAAAGCAAGCAGTATTCTTAACTGCTGAGCCCTCCTTACACTCTGCTTTTTGTCAGTCCTAGATGGCAGCCAATGAGATGGCGCCATCCTTACCAGGGTGGGTCTCCCTCATCCCTCTTTAACCTGTTCTAGAAACTCCCCCTCATATATTCCCAGAAGTTTGTCTATGATGGCTCTAAATTCCATCAAGTTGGCCATCCAGATTAAGTACCTCTTGCCTGTCTCAGCAGCCCGTTTGATTGGCGCCTCTCCCTGGCCTGCTTTCCTCCTCCCCTGTATCCCCATGTCTGCTAGCCTTACTTTTATTATGTTCTCTCTCATCTCTCCAGGGAGGTGGCTGCCGCTTCCTTCGTTACGACTGCAGAATCTCATCCCCGAGGAAGGGCTGGGCTCTCCTGCACCCTGGTCGCCTCACACACTACCATGAGGGGCTGCCTACCACCCGGGGCACTCGGTACATCATGGTGTCCTTTGTTGACCCCTGACACTCAACCAGTCTGCCAAACCTTCTCTGCCATTGTGCCTTGTTGGGCGACTGGGGACACCATTCTCAGAGAGAGAGCATCGGGCTCTTCTTGTTTCCTGAGTGTGCCTCGCGCTGAATGTTCTGTCCCCATCATCGCTCTCAGGAGGTCCCTGGGGTATGCCACCTTCTCACTGACCCCATGGACTCGGGGACTGGACACTTTCCCCCCCAGAGACAGGGTTTTTCTGTGTAGCCCTGACTATCCTGGAACTTGCTTTGTAGACCAGGCTGGCCTCAAACTCACAGAGACCCGCCTGCCTCTGCCTCCCAAGTGCTGGGATTAAAGGCGTGCACCACTGCTGCCTGGCAGGAGTGGACTTCTGAGGGTTCCCTGCCTGATAAATTATTGAGCTTCCTCAGCCTCACTTACAATAAAAGGGTGTTTGTAACTGTTGAGTTCATGAGTCATATATATATAAAGTCAGGGTCTTGTGTAGCCCAGGCTGGCCTCTTACTCACTCCACTATAGGGAATGATACAGTTGTGCACCACCATGTCCAGTTAATGCAGTGCTGGGGATCAGACCCACAGTCCTACATGGTGGCAAGTATTCTACCAACTGAGCTACATCCCCTCTCCTTTCTCCTTATTTTTTTAATAAATTAAGTGTGTGTGAGTCTGGGTATATATACATGAGCAGAGGTGTCCACAGGGGCCAGAAGATGGTCTCATATCCCCCTGGAACTGGAGTCACAGGATTGAGAGCCATTTGACTTGAGGGCTGGGAACCACACCCTGGTCCAGCAAGTACTCTCATCCCCTGAACCATCTCTCCAGTCCCAGCCACAAACTAGAGATATGTGAAAGGGAGGAAATGTCTCCATTAGATCCAGCTATAAGGCGTTTTCCTAATTAGTGATTGATCAGGGAGGGCCCAGCCCATTGTGGGTAGTACCATCTCTGAGCTGGTGGTCCTGGGTTCTATTAGAAAGCAGGCTGAGTAAGCCATGTTGTGCAAGCCAGTAAGCAGCACCCCTCCATGGCCTCTGTATTGGCTCCTCCCTCCAGGTTCCTGCCCAGTTTGAGTTCCTGTCCTGACTTCCTTCAGTGATGAACAGCAATGTGAAAGTAAACAATTTGCTGCTGTCAAATCTGAGTTCAGTCCCTCCAACCCACATGGGGGGAGAAGGGAAGAAACATCCCCAAGTAATCCTTTGACCTCCATAGTACACCAGGGTGTGTGTGCTCTTCCACAATGCCACCCAAAAACTGGGTGGGCGTTGGTGGCACTCACCTTTAATCCCAGCATTTGGGAGGCAGAGGCAAGTGGATCTCTGTGAGTTCGATGCCAGCCTGGTCTACAGAGCTAGTTCCAGGACAGTCAAGGCTACACAGAGAAATCCTGTCTAAGAAAAAAAAGAGGAGGAGGAGAAGAGGAGGCCACATATGGAGGTTACAGCCCTGCCTGTCCTGGAACTCACTTTGTAGACCAGGCTGGTCTTGAACTCAGAGATGTCTGCCTCTGCCTCCCATGTGCTGGGATTAAAGGTGTGAGCTACCATGCCGAGCCAAGGAAAATGTGGCTTATATTTCCAGAGGTCCAATCCTTTATCATCCTGGTGGGACATGGTGTCATGCAGGCAGGCATGGTGCTGGAGAAGTGGCTGAAGAATCCTATGTCTTCAGTCAGCAGGAAGTGGCTTGAGTAGCGTATGAGACCTCAAAGCCCGCCTCCACAGTGACACAATTCCTCTAACAAGGCCACCGATCCTAATAGTACCACTCCCTTTGGGGGGCATTTTCTTTTTTGTTTTGTTTTGTTTTGCTTTTTGAGAGGGAGGGTCCCTGGCTGTCCTGGAACTCCCTCTGTGGACCAGGCTGGCCTTGCATTGCTTGCCTCTGCCTCCCTGGTTCTGGGATTTAGGGAATTTGCCATGATACTTGGCTGTCATTTAATTTCAAACCACCACACACAGCATTTTTGGAGTCTGGGGTTCTATGCCCAGCGCAGCACTAAACCACAAGTCGGGGACACCTGTAATCCCAAGCAGGAGGTCAAGGTCATTCTTGACTACATGGTTCCGTGTCAGCCTGGACTTTGTGAGATGGCGTCTCAAAAAGGGGGAGGAGGGTCCTGGAGGAAAGGGGCAACAAAAGACAAAAGAAATTATTCCATCCAAGTCTGGTTTAGTGAGCCAGTGACCCATGAAAGCTGTGTGACTGAAGTGTCCGCTGAGTTAATCTTCCACCTCCCAGGCACACTGTGTTACCGCTCTCAAGACTACATGGAGCTGGGACAGGAACTGAGCCAGGGGAGGCAGAGTGAGAGGCCAGAAAAGCAGGAGAGAGTCTGATGGTGACTCCTTTCCGCGTTTCTAGGTGGTGTGGGGGTGGAGGCCAGAGGTCAACTTTAGTTGTCATTTGGAGTTACCGTCCACCTTTTTTGACACAGGGTGTCTCTCTTTGGCCTGGAACTCAGCCCTGGGCCACTTGTCTCCACCTCCCTAGTGATGGGATACAGTAAGCTTCCATGCCCAGCTTTGTGTGTGTGTGCGTGCATGTGCGTGTGTGTGTATGTGTGTGTGTGTCTTTGTGTGTGTCTTTGTGTAGCCTTGGCTGTCCTAGCTCTGTAGACCAGGCTGGCCTCGAACTCACAGAGATCTGCCTACCTCTGCCTCCAGGGTGCTGAGATTTAAAGGTTTGTGCCACCACCATCTGGCTCATGCCTAGTTTCTTGTCTTGAGTGAGTTCTGGGGGTGGGGGTGGGCAAACTCAGGAAGGCAAGGACTTTGCTGACTGAGTTATCTCCCTAACCCTCCACCAACTCCTTTTTTCTAGATTTATTTAAAGATTGGAGGGATGGCTTAGCCATTACGATTACATATTGCTTTCCCAGAGAACCTGAGTTTGGGTTAAACAGCTCACAACTGTTTCTTTGGAAGCACCCCTCCTCCCTCTCCAAACTTTGCCCCTCAGAAATCCTGACAAGTGGAGGCTCCTCCTCCCCTGGAGCTGCTCAAGAATGGTCCTACAGGGTATTTAAGTTCCTGTCCATAGACCTGCCATGTGATTTCTCTCCTCCTCACTGGGGAGTGCTTTGCTCAGATTCAACTCGGTTTTATTAATTTGGCTTGATCAGGTTTACTGCGTCGGCAGAGAAACCTACTGCCTGGGATCCAACAATGCTTATCAACAACCACCTGTGACTTCACCTCCAGAGAATCTGGTGCCTCTGGCCTATAAGGGCACCTGCATTCATCCTTTCTCCCCCAAACACATGATTAAATATTTCTTAAAAAAATTAAAAATCTTTATTTTGTCTGTGTATTTGTGTATGCATACACACATGTCCAAGGGAATGCAGGTGCCTGTGGAGGCCAGGAGAGGGCATCAGATCTCCTGGAGCTGGAGTTACAGATAGTAGTGAGACAGCTAACATGGACGTGGGAACCAAACGTAGGTCCTCTGCAAGAGTATTAAGTGCTCTTTTTTTTTTTTTGTTTTTCCTTTAATTTTATTTTTCAAAACAGGGTTTCTCTGTATAACAGCTCTGGCTGCTCTGGCACTCACTCTATAGACCAGGCTGTCCTCGAACTCACAGTGATCCGCCTGCCTCTGCCTCCCAGCTGCTGAGATTAAAGTGAGCTTCCCTAGCCCAGTTCAGTAAGTGCTCTTACTGCCCAGCCAGCTCTCCAGATGCTGTCTACCCACCCACTTTCTCTAAATGATAGTTATTAAGCCAGGTTGTGTGTAGGTCCTATGTGCAGTGTCCCAACTGTTCTGACTTGCCCTAGGCCACACCCTGAGTTATTCCCACTTCATGCTATTGGTCAGCTCCTGCAAGCTCAGTAGGAGAGAGCTTTGCCTTGCCCCTGTTCACAGTTCACTGTACACGTGACTCAATGTGTAGGTCAGAGCAGGGGGGCAGAAGTGGGGGTGGGCTCAGGCCCAGGGGTCAAAGTCAGAGGACTGAGCTATAGAGGATGTGTGTACATAAGCTGTGGGTTGCCCCTGTGCATTTCCCCTCTCAGACATGGAGGTCTCGTCCAGTCCCCTGCACCGGAGTCTTCAAGTGTTTGCTGTGTTTCAGTGGGTCTTTTCATTCTTGGGACTTGGTGAGTCCCCAAAGGCCCTGGAGTCAGACAAACCTGGCTGGTGGTAACTCTCTTTGTCCATGAGCCCAAGAAGACAGAGTAGGAATTTCTGGGGTCCTAGAAGGAGTCTGGGGCTTGAATACCCCAGGACTGGGAGAGTGGGTCAGAGGGGAGGAAAGGGTTTAAATATCCGGGTTCTTTTTAAAAATAATTTTATTATTTATTTGTGAGGTGGCATGTAATCGTGTCTGTCATTTCATTATATAGGAAGGGGGATTGAACTCAGATCATCAAGCTTGGCAGCAATACCTTTACTATCTCAGCCATCTTGCCAGCTCTAACACCTTGGTTCTTAGCATGCCTCTCTGTCTTGACCTTCAGCCTTGCTCTGCCTGGTAGTATTGGTCCTAGCCTCCTTAGGCCGGGCCTGGACTCTCGTCGTCCTCTACCTGGCCTGGCTCTACAGAGACAGACACACACCCAGGATGGGGGGTCGCCGTTCTGCCTGGGTCCGGAACTGGGCAGTCTGGAGGTATTTCCGAGACTACTTCCCCATCACGGTGAGGGTCCCAGAAAGTGGGCTTTGTTGATGGGTGGGTGGGGTTTCTCAAAATAGACACATGTGGCTTCCCCTCTCCTACCTCCAAAGCTGTTCCTCGCTGGGAAATGTGACATTCACAACCTTTGTTCTCCAGCTGGTTAAAACAGCCGAGCTGGATCCATCTCAAAACTACCTTTTTGGTTTCCACCCTCACGGGGTCCTGGTTGTTGGGGCTTTCAGTAACTTCTGTACGGAAGCCACGGGCTTCTCTCGCCTCTTTCCGGGCCTCAAGTCACATCTACTCATGCTGCCATGCTGGTTCCAAGTGCCTCTCTTCCGAGATTACATCATGACCAGTGGTAAGGAAGCCCCTTCTCAAGATCCCCTGGTGCTGGAAACCTTTCTGATCCTGGAGTGGGGGTGGGGGCGCCTGTGTTCGCCTCTCTCTTGATGGCATGCTTATATCCCAGCCTTTGTCCTCCCCGCGCAGGTTTAGTCTCTTCTGACAAGGCTAGCGCTTCCTATCTCTTGTCCCACCCCGAGGGTGGCCAGGTGGCTGTCCTAGCTGTGGGAGGCCCCCTGGAGGCTTTGGAGGCAAAGCCTGGAACAGTGAGTTTGCGCCTCCGGAATCAGAAAGGATTCATTAAATTGTCACTGGAACACGGGTGAGGAATGGGCAGGTGGCGGCAGGGGTAGATTCACCTGAGCTGCCCTGCAAGAGTGTGGAGCCCCGTACCCTCAGGCTCCAGTCAGCTTAATGCAGTCTCTTCCGGCCCCTCCAGGGTTTCTCTTGTGCCTGTCTTCTCTTTTGGAGAGAATGAACTCTTCCATCAGTATCCCAACCCGCCAGGCTCCTGGGTGCGCAGGGTGCAGGAAGCTCTTCAGGGGATGCTGAGTGTGGCCCTTCCTCTGTTTCACGGTCGCCTGGGTCTCCTGATACCCTTCCGTGTGCCCATCCACACTGTGGGTGAGTCATGCATCTCTCCCATGCTCTGACGCCCTAGCTCTGAGGTCCACGAGTCCGGCACTCATCCTCCAAGCTGTCCACCCTGATCCCCTGTTAGTGGGAGATTTAGGGACATCTTAACACTCAGTCCTCCCCTCCTTTTCCTTCCACAGTGGGTGCCCCAATTCCAGTCCAGCGAAGCCCGATGCCCACCCGGGAACAGGTGGATCAGTTGCACAAACTGTATGTAGAGCGGCTCATACAGCTGTTTGAGGAACACAAGACACGATATGGTGTCCCTGCTGATCAACACCTTATTCTCACCTAGGCGTGTCCGTGTCCCTGTGTCCTGGCCTTCCTGACTGCAGGGGGTGGGCTGGGGGATGAAATTAAATGCGGGAATGGACAAGAAGCATTTGTGAGTTTTGTACCATTCAGGGGAGGGAGAGATAAACCATAGGGCAGAGGGGACCCCATTGTCCCCACTGATCCTGGTAGCCTTGGCCACTCCCAGGGACCTGCAAACAGACTGCATTGCCAGTGCCTGCCGGCCAGCATGTCTGGGTCCTCCTGCCCTGCCTGGCCTGTACGCTGGACATCAGAGTCTCGGGTCTCCACCCATTGTCTGTGGGTCACTGGGTGGGTTGGCCAGCTGCTTCTTGCCTACTCCCTACTTTAATGCCTCGGTCACCAGGGAGGCAAGTGCTGTCCTTTTTCTGCACTCTGAGCTCCTCCCAGTAACCTCCACAGACTCACTGACAAAGGAGGTCAAAGATCAGATCAAGAATGAGCCTAGAAAGTTCTGGGGCTCCAGGTCCAACATCTGATCATCCCAGAGGTGAACTGCTCCCTGTGAGATCACACCCCCAAACCTTTACCCTGTTTCCTGGGTCCTGGAGCCCGGTGACACCAAAGCTGGTGTCACATAGCCCCTCTCTCCTCTTCCACCATGAAAACACCTCAGAAGCAACGGCTTGAAGTGAGAGGCGCTTACCAGTATGTGCTTGCTTTTCTCTTCATGGGTAAGAGTGACTGGAGGGTTTTAGGGAGTGGAGCAGAGACAAGCAAGCTAGGAAAAGGGGATTGGAGGCCATCTGGCTGGGCAATTACCCTTGCGGGCTCCAGGTACCAGGAAAGGGCCAGAGGAGACCACTGGGCCACTCAGCAGGGGAGGGGGGGAGGGAACAGATTGGCTGACTGCATGACCAAAGCTGAGTCATCTTTCCCTGTCACCTTTTCTGCACCCTTCTGGTTTTCTTCTTCCTTTTCACCAGGCTCTCCTTCTCTCTCTATTTGGTGTGGATCACACCCATCCGAGGTATGTCTCGGACATCGGTCTCCAGTCATGGGTTTGTTTTTTTTTTTTTTTCTGTTGTCTGTGTGTATGCACACATATGTGGGTTTTTTTGTTTTTTCTTTTTAAATGTGTGTGGGTTCACGTGCTGTCTGCAGAGACCCGGAGGTTGATTCCATCACTCTTCCACCTTGTTCACTGAAGCAGGGTCTCTCAATCAAACCCAGAGCACACCGATATGGCTGCTTTTGCTAGCCAGCATGCTCTGGGATTCCTGTTTCTACCTTCTGAAGCTGGAATTACAGTGGCTGCTAGGCCCACCTGGCAGTTACTTGAGTTCTGGGGATCGGAACTCTGGACATTTTGCTTGCCTGGCAAGTGCTTAACCATTGAGCCATCTGCCCTGGTCCAGAAGATGTAGTTTTCCCAAGGAATCGTTTTATCCCTGTGTGCAGGTGGAAGGCACGCCAGGTGGGTGAGAAAGTGGACAGTTTGGGAACACCAAAGAGATTATTTCCCCGTCAAGGTGCAAGTCGGTCTCCTTCCTCTCTGCCAACTACTCACCTTCCTCCATGCTGGAGCCAGCTCTGGATGTCTGGGGTGATTCCTGAGAGTGACCCCCTGTGCCTTTAGCCCCATCTTAGGACCTTGAACTTTGAACTCTGGTGGGATAAAGGGCCATTCTTCCCAGCAATTGTCTTGTATTTTTCTTTTATTTTTATTTGCTTTTTTAAAAAATCCTTTTATTTGCTTTCTAAATTTACTTTTTTTAGAGTTTGCATTTTACTTATTTGGAGGGTGAGGGAGGGGTTTGTGCATGTCTCCACATGCCTGTAGCAGTCAGAGTCGGGTTTTCTTCCATCATGTAGGTCCCAGGGATTGAACTCAGCTTGTCAGGCTTGGTAGTGGTCTCCTTTACAGGCAGGAACAGTCCCCCCCCCCCACATCTCCCCACACACCTCAAAGCTACTAAAACCTGCAGAGCTGCCGGCTGACCGGAACTACGTGCTGGGTGCCTACCCGCATGGGATCATGGGCACAGGAATCTTTTGACTTCTCCACTGACAGCAATGCCTTCTCCCAGCTCTTTCCCAGGCTTAGGCCTTGGATAGCCACGCTGGCAGGACTCTTCTCTCTTCCTATCTATCGAGAACACCTCACGTTCAGTGGTGAGGCTTTTCCTAGCCTGTGTCAGCTTGACACAGCCTAGAGCCATTTGAGAAGAGAGTCTCATTGAGGGATTTCCCAGATCAGGTCAGCCTGTGGATACATCTGTGAGAGACCCGTCTCAATCATGTAGGAAGGCCCAGCCCACAGTGGGCAGCACCATCCCCTGGGCCTGTATGAGAGAGTCAGCGAGGCATGAGTCTGCAAATGAGTCTGTAAGGAGAATTCCTCCATGGTTTTTGCTTCAAGTTCTTGCCCTGACTTCCCACAACGATGGACTGCAATCTATAAGCTGAAACAAACCCTTTCCTCTCCTACGTCACTTTTGGTCAGAGTAAACACAGTAACAGCCAAAGGTGGAAGTGCCCGTGGATTACAGGGCATCCCCTCCATAACTAACAAGATCCTTACACGGCAGCCCCTCCTTGGGTAGAAGAACTGGCTTGGGTGTTGGTCCTACTCAGATGGGGACCCCAAGTGTGTTGTACAGGGTTCAGGGAACCAAAGGGTCAGGACACCAGGCTTGCTTTCTGCACAGAAGAGTGGAGGTGGGAGGGCTAGGGAGCTGGCGAGAGAGAGGCTGGTGACAGTGGCCCGCTTTTGTCCACAGGGCCAGGCAGTGACCATCCTGATTGGGGGTGCCCAGGAATCCTTGCATGCAGCACCAGGTGAGCAACCCCTCACATTGAGAACACACAAAGGCTTTGTGTGCCTGGCACTAAGGCACCGATGAGTAGGGCTACAGAATCTTCACAGGTTGCTTTGTATCAGGGTCTCAGGTAGCCCAGGAGATCCTTCAGCTCACTGTGAAGCCAAGAATGACTTGGAACTTCTGACCCCCCTGCCTCCACCTCTTGAGTAGTGGGATTAGTGTGTGTACCATCGTGTCAGGGTTATGTGTGCTGGGAAGGGAACCCATTCTTCATGCCTGCTAGTTGAGTATTCTACCTGAGAGATAGAGAAATATCTATCACACACACACACACACACACACACACACACACACACACACACACGAGGCCATGAGAAAGCATCACATTCCCTGTAGAGTTATAGGCAGCTACCTGTGAGTTGCTCAACACGGTGAGAACTCAGGTCCTCTGTAAAAGCAGCTCATCCTCTTAACTTCTGAGCCATCTTTCAAAAATGTCTTTAATTTTATGTGCATGTGTGTTTGCCTGTCTGTATGTCTGTCCATGTGCTATGTGCGTGTAGTGTCCCGGGAGACCAGAAAAGGGCATTGGATCTCCTGCAATTGTAGTTAGAGACAGTTGTAAGATACCATGTGGGTGCTGAGACTGGAATCCCGGTCTCTCCAGCTCCATCCCTTACATCCGGTTTTTAAAACATAGATCCTGGGAACCAAACTCACCCGAAGCAAGCGCTTCACTGTCTGGGCAGTTATATCATCACACCCTCAGCCCTATCTCAAGACGATGCCTGGGAGCCAGGTGTGGTGATACAGAGACAGAGCTGATGTCCCAGTAGCCTGGGAGACAAGCAAGGCTTTCTTCTCTCCCGCCACCCTTCCCAGGGCCTCCCTCGTGCCTGTGTGTTCCTTTGGGGAGAATGATAGCTACAGAATCAAGTCTTTTGACCCAAACTCCTGGCAGTATCAGTGCCAAGTTGCCTTCAAGAGACTCACGGGATTTTCCTCCTGCATCGTCTGGGACCGTAGTCTCTTCTCAGCCAACTCCTGGGATCTGGTACCATTTGCCCGGCCCATCACTACTGTGGGTGAGTGGAGGTCTCTGGGGAGGGGAGCTCCTGTGAGTTCTATTTGCAGGAAGAGAGCCCTCTCACCCACATCAACCCTCTCTGCAGTGGGCCGCCCCATCCATGTGCCCAGTGCCTTACACCCACTGAAGACCAAGTGGGTTATTATCACCAACTCGACATGAAGGCTCTGGAACAACTGCTCAAAGACCACCATGGCATCCCTGCTTCCACCCACCTCACCTTCTACTAAGCCTGAAACCCTGAACCCTGAGCCTGGAGACTTCCACCATGTCATGCTCCACTCCTTCTTAAATGCTAATTCTGCAGGCGAACATGTCCAGACATGGCCATCCCCATCCCAAGGTGCTCCAGAATGCCCTTCTTCCCCCAGTCTAGGTCTCTGCCCTGACCCTGGATCTCTTCCCAGTGAGTCTTGGCTGTTTTTTGTTTGTTTGTTTTGTTTTGTTTTTTTACCTCAGTTAAGTAAGTCACTACTCTATTTGCTCAAGTTTTTACTAGCATATGTTAATTATACATAATAGTGGGTCTCATGGATTTGGGAGAGATGGCTCAGTGGTTAAGAGCACTTGTTGCCCTTGCAAAGGACCCAGGTTGGAATCCCAACACCCACATGGAGGCTCACAACCACCCATACTTCTAATTCCAAGGAATCCATTGTCCTCTTCTGACCTCCACAGGCACCACGCAAGCACATGGTATACACATGCAGGCAAACACACACATTCATGCAGGCAAACACTCATTCACATAAAACAAATGAATCTAAAACTCTCAACTATGGGTTTTTTTGTTTGGTTGGTTAATTTTTTTTTTTTTTTTGTTTTTGTTTTTTGTTTTTTTTGAGACAGGGTTTTTCTGTGTAGCTCTGGCTGTCCTAGAACTCACTCTGTAGACCATCCTGACCTCAGAAATCTGCCTGCTTCCTGGGTGCTGGGATTAAAGGCGAGTACCACCACACCCAGCATCTATCAGGTTTTAGTATGACATTTTCATGCATGTATACAATGCATTTGATCATACTCACACCCATGGCCCTCTCTTGTCTCTTCCTCTTCCAGACTGATCTGTCTTCTGCTTTCATGACTTTTTATTCGTTTGTTTGTTTGCATTGTTTTGGGGATCCAGTGAGTTTCATTAGAACTATTTAACCTCACCAGCGGCTGGCCACACTGCTGAAGAGAATGTCTCACCCTCCCATAGCAAGCATTAAGCTCCACCCCACCCCCAAGGTTGAGCCTACCACTATCACATTGCCAACTGTACACACTATCTTACTGTCCTCTAAGTTTGTGCATCTCCATACCCATAGATTAGCGCAGCTCCTAGACCTTATCAGAAAAGCGCCTTTGTGTGGTGGACAATGGTTCAGGTAGGAATTTAACTAATCAAAGGGCAGAGAACAAAGTCAACTGAGTGCTCAGCCCCAGCGGGTACACCAACTAGATGCAGGGACCATCTGGGAAAAGGAGAGCAGAAAGACTAAGAGTCAGAGGTCAGGGCAGCCTGCAGTAAAACAGTGACTTCTGGACACAACAGGAGGCTGCACTCATGAACTCACACCAACTGTGTTTGCTTGCTTAAGGTCAAGCCAGCACTGAAGGTGGAAGAGCTGAGGAGCCGTTGCTAGCCGAAGGCTTCTGGAGAAGGGAGAGGCAGTTTTCTTTAAGGGTGTCGTGTCGACCCTGGCAGGCAGACCTACTCCAGTAGAGCCGTCCATACTCATAACTATATGGGCACCACAAGTTGGAATCGCTGAGTTATGAGAGAAAGAGAGACAGGGTGAAGTTCAGAGGGGATGAGGTGGGAGATGGGCGGAGAGGACTGAGAAGTCTATATAATTGAAATACATTGTATATGTGTATCAGATTCCCCTCCAAATTAGAAGATGTGAGGTCTTAAAATGGGGATGAAGAGGAGATTAGTGGGAGTTCACGGACATCATAATGGGCATGACACGGATAAAATGAGGGGTAGGATCAGATGCCGTAAGAGCCCTCCTGTGGCCACAGCCTCCTTTCACTATAACTCCACCGGTTCCTTCACTGGCTTTGTTTTTGCATCCGGATCTAAAAACAAGAGTGACTTGTCAGCTGGGCATGATGACTCATGCCCGTAATCTCTCGGGATGCTGTGACAGAAGGATTTCTTGAAGTAGAAGAACAGCCTGAGCTGTTCACTCTGTAGAGTGAAATCCTGTCTCCAGTAATAATAATAACACCGATTTGTTTGAATGTGATCAGACTGCAATTGTATTTGTCATCCACTGTTCTATAAAATGTATTCATGGAAGAATTTTTTTGTGTCTCCAGGTGAAAGTTTGGGCAAACCCACAAGTTATATTGGTCCTCTTTAGATACGAAGGGTTTCCTTTTTGTCTTTTTTTTTTTTTTTTTTTTTTTTTAAAGACAGGGTCTGGACAGGCAGTGGTAGGGCACACCTTTAATCCCAGCACTTGAGAGGCAGAGGCAGGCTGATGTCTGTGAGTTCAAGGCCAGCCTGGTCTACAGAGCTAGTTCTAGGACAGCTAGGGTTGCACAGAGAAACCTTGTCTTGAAAAAACAAACCAATCAACCAAACAACAACAAGTAGCCCAGGGTTACCTTTGAACTCACTGTGTAAGGAGAGAATGCCTTTGAATTCCTGATCTTCCTGTCTGTGTTGGGGATGGAATCCAGGGTTATATTGTGTGCTACACAAGCATCTGCCAACTGAGCCATCTCTCCAGCCTTCTTGATACTGTTTTTGTTGTGAAGTGTGTGTGTGTGTGTGTGTGTGTGTGAATATGCATGCAGATGGCAAGGCTAGAAGACACTCTGTGTCCTCTCTTTCTCTCAGCCCTGCTCCCTTCAGATAGGGTAGGACTTCTGGAGAGAGAGAGAATGCTGGGAAGGAAAAAGGGATTTCCACCAGTAGACTCGGAGGAAGTTGAGTGTGCTGTACTGAGAAAAGGTAAAAGCCACATGGCAGAATGTAGATTAATAGAAACAGGTTCATTTAAGTTGTAAGAGCTAGTTGGAAACAAGCCTAAACTAAAGGCCAGGTTTTCCTAATTAATAAGTCTCTGTGTTGTTATTTGTGCGCTGGCAGTCCCGGTGAGAAAGTGCTACTACATCCAGATCTATACCACTCTCTATTCTGCCCTTCTTTTTATAAAGGTGAGGTCTCAATATGTAGCATGAGCTATTCTTGAATTCACAGGCATTCCTGAGTGCTGAGAATACAGGCATGACTCACATTGTTCTGTGTCTCTCCTCCTTTCCCCTTCTTTCCCCTTCTCTCCATTCCTCCCCTCCCCATTCATTTGCATTCCATCCTCTCCCCCCCCCTTCCTTTTCCCTCCTCTTTTCTAGAGTCCTGTATCTCAGAGTTCGAGGCTGTTGTGGACCTCCTCCTCAGCGTGTGGTGAACAGTACACCCCAACAGTGTGTGCTTTGTTCTTGTGGTTTAGAAAGACAAACATGAACACAGTTTTACTCTAGAGGTCCCCCAAGCTCTCTCCATGCCATTTCCAAAGTGGCCACCAGAGGGTGATCTCTTTTCAAAAGGCAAATCTGACTGTCGATCTCCAGTTTAAAATCTCTGCCTGGCCACTCCAGCTCATCAGGAGGGTCCAATGGGCAGTCACGCTTAGTCTCAAACTCACAGAGATCCACCTGTCTCTGCTTCCAGGGTTCTGGGATTAAAGGTGTGCACCTGCACCCCCCAGCCATTTGTTTGGATTTGTTTGGTTTCGGCTTTTAAGACACACTCTCACTTTGGAGCACAGACTAGTCTTGAACTTGTGACTCACCTGCCTCAACTTCCTGAGTGCTGAGATTACAGGCCTGAGCCGCTATACCCCGAAGAGTTCACAGAGCAGGAAGCCTCTGAGCCCTGGGCTTTAGAGACCAGCTGCCTACCTGGAGGGGAGCACCGCAGTGCAATTCACAGTCCATTTCCAGAGGCCTTCCCAGGCCTGCAACCTGCCAGGTGGCTCAGGAACCCCTTCTTAAAGATGTCCCACACCCCACTTACTGTATTAGATTGCAATATGTTAAGCATGGCCCCACCTAAAAGTAATGGCTAGGGCGCGCGTGTGTGCAAGCATATGTACTCAAAGAAGTCTGATGATCTGCACTAAAGAACACGGAGCAACTCATTAACTTGAAAAGGTTATTTTACATTTTTGCATATGTGTGTGGGTGAATACGGGTGCTCACAGAGGCCAGAAGAGAGTGTCCAAATCCCTGGAGCTAGAGTCTTAGGTAGTGTGAGCTGATGCCTGGATGCCGAGAACCAAATTCAGGTCCCCTGTAAGAGCAGCAAGTGCTCTTACATTGAGCCATCGTCCAGTCCTTATTTTGAAAATAAGGGAAACATTTCTTCATTCATCATGTCTTGAGAAGCTATGTCTCATCACATTTATGGTAAAGGAAGACAAATCTTCCATCTGGGATTCCAGACAATCCATGACAGCAGACTGGCGGAATGAAAGTATCACTTGTTTCTTTGTTCTTTGTTGTTTGTTTGGTTTTTTGTTTTGTTTTGTTTGTTTGTTTGCTTGGTGGTGGAGCTGAGGTTTGAACTCAAGCCTTTACAGATGGTAAAGCATAAGGTTTGGTGTGGTGGGGAACAAGTTTAATCCCAGTACTCCCTAAGTCAGAGGCAGGTGAATCTCTGTGAGTTCAAGACTACATGTGAGTTCAAGTCCATGTCTACAAAGCAAGTTCCAGGCCAATCAGGTTACACAATGAGACGCTTTCTCAAAAACTAAAGCCAAGTCAGGCAGTGTTGGTACACACCTTTAATCCCAGCATTCAGGAGGCAGAGGCAGGTAGATCTCTGAGTTTGAGGCCAGCCTAGTTGAGAGCAAGTTCCAGAACAGCCAGGGCTACACAGGGAATCCCTATCTAGAGAAATGAAAACAAAAAGCCAAAGGGGCTGGTGAGATGGCTCAGTGATTGAAGGTAGTAGCTCCTAAGCCTGATGACCTGAGTGATGGGCGATGTTCTTCTGTACATGTGTTTCTCTTATTTGCTGATGAATGAAACATGGATTGACCAGTAGCCAGGCAGGGAGTATAGGAAGGGCTACCAAACAAAGAGAATTCTGGGGAAAGGAAGGCAGAGAAGAGCCACCAGAGAGACACCATGTAGCCACTGAAGGAGTAACAGGTCTGGGCAATCTCTGGTAAGCTAAGACCATGTGACAATACATAGATTAATAGAAATGGGTTAATAATTAAGAGAG